TACTGAAATATAGGGTGTGAAATATCGAGATTTTCCAAGTTCAAGAATTTTTTCTGTCGAAACTATTCATAATTGGTCAAAACGGCTCACATGTCCCTATCTCGACTTTTGATTGACTATCTACTGATATTTAATTGGGACATATACCGGGTGATCAAGATTCTGAATTCTGCACCACCCTGTATTTGTTTCAATTAAATGTCAGTAGATAGTTGATAAAAAGTTGAGATAGGTACATGTGAGCCGTTTTGACCAATTATGAATGGTTTAGACACAAAAAATTCTTGAACTTGGAAAATCTTGATTTCTCACACCCTATATCTCAGTAATTATAACTGCTAGACTCCAAGTATGATGGATTGCTGAAATCAGCTCACCAGGGAGAATCTCAAAATGGTATAACATATAGGGTGTTCGATAGAAAAAAGTTTAACTTCAGTGTTTTATGGTTTTTGGGGACACCCTGTATGTTTCGAAATAATTTTAAATGGTAGCCTATGTTGACATGCAACTTCCTATAGAGAGGAAGAATTCCAAGAAGATAAGTGGTTAGCCTTCTAGAGACCGAGGCGGTACTGGTGGCCCACCCTGTATATGTGATATATATCCGGGAAAAAAGTACTCACTTTTTTTCCACGGGAAAAAAGTAATTTATGAAGTGACATTTTATAACCTGCCAACAGAGATGAAATGCCAAACTATTTTCCCGTTACAGAAAAAAAATTGTTTTAAATAAAAATAACAAAACCAAAATTCTTCATAAACTTTCACCTATATTTTTCATAAATCAATTCAAAAATACGTATAAATATGATTGCAATATAAAACTGAACCTCATGCCCAAGGCTTTGTTAGACCTTCTTCAAACCAGTCCTTATTCTCTCTCAAAAAAGTTCTGATCTCTTCGATATCGCTCGACAAATTCAAGCGATCATGCAGGAATTCGAGGATCAATGAATCGTTGATCTGGAAACCCAATTTTGGTTCAATTTTACGAATGAACAAATTCAACCAGCTGCCGAATATCAGAACGGTATCAGCCTGATTTTCATGAGTGGTTCCCCTGAAAAATAAAATGAGTGATAGGTATACAGAGTTTTCAAATTTCAGTCGGCACTATCGCTATCTTATTGGTCATTATTATTGGAGGTATAATGTCAGTTGGATAGGCAAACTAGTAGTTGATTACGATGATGGAATCGAAAGAAAAATTTGATCTCGCGTTTACGAGTTATGTCGGAAAGTTATTTTTTTAAATGGGACACCCAGTATACAATTTTTATGACTTAACAGCGAAACTGATGAGGAACCATAAAACACTCATGAAAACTCACCTTAATGTATACATTTTACTGTTTTCATTAGACAGAAACTTTTCCATCATTTTAACATTTGCTCCAATATGGAAAGTTTGTGTATTGACGAAAAGTATTGGAACTTTTATTATTGAATCCAAATTCTCATTCTTTATTGGATACATCCATGGATCTAGTAGTATGCAACGTCTGAAATGATATAGTTTTTACTATTTACCTCTATACATACCTATTCGATTTTGAAATTTAGAGCTCGATAAATATAACAAAATATATGGTGACGAAGGGTATCGGATCACCCCTGTAACTTCTGCAAAGATTTTTCTGAAATTTGGTACAATAATCATTTCGGATTTGACCACATAACAATCCAAATGGTGGACTTCTGGTTTTTCTGGAAATGCAAGCAACAGCAACTTTTATGGAACACCCTGTATATTATTACATATTCAACAATTGCAATTTGTTTGTCAAATGTGATTTTTCAGAAAAAAAAATTAATTCGAATTGTTTTTTCTTTCTGCCTCGTAGATGAATGAGATGTGGTCAAGACTATTCACAATGAGTCGCACAGATACAGGGTGATCAGAATTCTGAATCTTGAAGCACCCTGTATTTTTTCCAATTGAATTCCAGTAGATAGTGAATCAAAAGTTGAGATAGGGACATGTAAGCCGTTTTGATCGATAATGAATAGTTTCGACACAAAAAAGTCCTAAAATTGAAATATCCCGATTTTGTACACCCTATATCTCTGTGCTCATTCCTGCTAGACCCCAAGTGTGATGCATTGAGACAATCAGTTCTTCAGGAATAAATACAGGGGGTTCTATTCGGAATAACAAAGTTGCTAGTTGTTTCTGATAGAAGTGGCAACACTGTATCGATGGAAATATTTTAGGCGGATAGAGAATGTTTAATTATCAAATCATCCCAATTTTCAGAATCTTCTGTCTTTTCGTTCTCCAGATAATTCTAATAGGCCATCCACCGTGGATCACTCTGTATAGACTTCTTTTATATCATTTCATCAAACCAGAGTCGGTTGATTTTATTTCATTTAACCAAATGATATCACGTGAACAAATTTCATTGATACTAAATAGTACTTCGGTATTTTGTATTTTATTCAGCGTAATCCTATGCTAGTATTTTTTCAATAATATTTTCGGTAATAATTCAAGCTGTCGTGGTATTATAACTTTTGATTGGCAACACAGTTACCTATATATAAAAATTAAAGTTCGTAACATAAGTAAGTACCTACCATATTTTATTTATTCATATTTCATGAAAATTCTGAGAAGCGGCAACACTGTCAACGCAAATGTTGGAAATCATTGAGCCAGTTCTGGTAGACATCAGATCAAAATTCATAACACAAATCATCCTCGAGTTATGACATCCCCGCTTAGGGTGGTATTCAAGAAGATTCATACTCCAATTCAAACGGAATTTAAAACCCTCATAACTCACCCAATATCTTCTCTTTCTGACGTCACTTGTAAGGCCGAAGCTCCACCAAACGAGTGTCCAACGATGGTGAAATCGTGGACATCAATATTTCCCACGAGATCTTCCAATTTGAAGGGTGTTTTCTCGTATGATTTCACGTCTTCTAACACGTTGTGCGGAATGATTCCTTCATTGAGATTCTTTAGAAAGTCTATCAATTTGGCACATTCTTTAGATCTAATTTGCATCTGTTCACGACGCTTCTGATAATGTTTATTTCCGAATGGATAATGTTCGAATTGAACAGTCGTTCTGTTATCCTTTTGAGCATCTTCTTTACTTTTATAGAAATAGGTATAAGATGCAGAATTATCTCTGAAAGAAAGACAATATGCTGATAATCTGTTGAGTAGGAGAGTTTTAAAAATATCACCGAAGTTGGCAATGAAAACCAAGAATCAAACATAATCATGTAGGCCTCTTCATTTGAATAACAAATGATTATCGTTGTTATAATACCATGGAACCACCTTCAGTGACAGCTATCTCAGGAAATAAAACATTCAGCTACCGGAAATTATGTCGAGCCATTATATTTTTCATCATTTCACATCTCAGATAATATAATATCTAGAACACACTTCGAGAGGTGATAGAAGGGGTCTCAAGAAATAGAAAAATGTTTCCATAAACAAAGAGGTCGTGGAAGGCTTCATTCGCGAAATACAGGGCATTGAAGCTGCAAATATTTATAGAATTTCTACCCTGTCGTATGGCTTATATCATGGTGTCAAAATTTAGTCTGTTATACATATGACTGGCAGAGTACCGCAATTCCAAAATAATATCTATCATGGATATCTGAACAGATGTATTGAATGGACTATCCGACATCAGCTACATGCATCCAATTTTGGAGTTGAATTTGGCCAACAGTTTCAATAGCTGCTGCTTTTTTCAACAATATTGCATCCTCTTCCAGATTTTAGAATAAAATTTCGAAATGTTTCATCGCCACCCACATTATTTTTTCTGAAAAATCACATACATCAATACCCCATATAACGGTGCCACTTCGAATCAATAGGCATATCAGTACGTAAATGACGTGAATGACGAAAAAATACCTCGGTAGAACACACAGACTTAACGTCTTGGAAAGGAGTAGATAATGGTAGTGGAGTATATAATTTATTACCTATGACCAAGATTATATTCCAGGCATCAGCCAAGGGGTCTGGTGTCCCGTGGTTATATTATTCTTTACTACCAAGGTGTTTATTATGGACCTATTGTCGCGATGAAAGCACTTTTTTCAGTTCTAATTAAAATCTAGTAGCCCATGAACATGACAGCATACGACAAGTCGTCATCAAGATGGTGTAATCACAGACAGTGTTTTGTTTCTCCCAAAACGCTTGACCGCAGATTACGCAATATATGGCATATTAGTTCTCCGCTGTCCGCAAGATGGACGACACTTTTTACAGATTTCTTTCTTGCGTAAAACAGAAAACGGCGCTTACACACCACTTGCACCACAAATAATAATATCATAACATTTTGGTTGAGATTTTGCCATCTAACGGGTGAAATGCGATCTATATTCCGCGATATTGAAAATAATCCTTCTGTCAAGTAGGCCATAGGTCAAGAACTTTGACCTAAAAACAGTAGATGGGATTTGATAGGAGATTCTACACCATCTTCTGTTCATCCTGGGTCGTCATAGACTAGTATAGGTAGTTCATAAAATAACGGAAACTACTTAGGTCGAACAAAAACACTTTAGTTACGCCTTGAAAATGAGTGAATAAACGTAGGTTTTATACCTAGTGGTAAAAAAACTATAATTCGCACTAGAAATAGTTAATGAAACGGATATGTGGCATGTCTTCATGATTGACAGAATGTCAAACTATACTCTGCCAACTTTGAAATACACCAATCTCTGGAAGAGGCGTCAAAACTAGCCAATGGCTATTTGATAATTCACTCTCGTATTATCTATAATCTGAACGTGCAATAAGTATCACCTGAATGATCGAAGAGGCCTTTATTATCGATCATAATAAGAAGTGAATTAATGGGTCATAATGGTCATATACATATATATTTTTTATTTGAATCATATTTGAATCGAAGCTATCGAAAGTTCTAAAATAACGATAATTCTAGCAGAAGTAAATAAGGTGAATATACATACCTATTTAAAATAATATCACTCACCTATGTTCGGGACATATAACTAAGTATCCGTAGGATGCCAGATCATAACACATTTTCGAATAAAAAAATTTAGAACCTCCCATTCCATGACTCACTATGACACATTTCAATTTATTGTTTGGGATTTTCGGAATTTGTCCATATTGGACGGGAATGTGGACGTTATCTAGAATGTAGGTAGATGAAATTGCGGTAGTTATAATTGGTAACTGAATTTTTTGTAGCAAAAATTAAAATGTATTTATCATACCAGACCACCAAAATCCAGCTTTCAGAAATATATTGGGGAACTTCAAGACTTTTGCCATGCCATCCCGATAGTGATAATCTTGCAACCAAGGTATCCATTTGTTACTTTGTTGCTGAAATAATGTTCATAATATGTATGTATTTGTTATGTATAATAGGGAAAGATAGAATTTTGTCGCCAAAATCAAAACCTGAATATCTATTCTCGAATGAAAATTATCGTTGTTCAACAATTCCTTCGCGAATATTTTTTTAAGATCAAGAAACAAATAAGATACGTAGTAAAATACCGTTGTCACAGATTTTTCCTGAATTTCCTATATTCATTGAGGAGGTGACTCCTTATTGACTCTTTATTCTAAGACTGAAAGTTTCTAATAAACATATAAGTAGGTATGTCCTAATCTGAATTATTTTCAAGACACAGACAGAGTTGTTGAAAACTAAAACGGTTAATTCGATTAACTAGGCGACCGCTTAACAAAAATAATTTCGAGTTGAGGAAATAGAATTAAATTGGTAGTAATTTATCGGGCCCAGATACATACAGAACTGGAAAGCGCAAATCAAATGTTCATTTTGTGCTAGGTATACCATCAATGACTTACTTTCTCTTGATCGTTAATCGGGTAATACAATCTCATCAATAAACCATTTTCATCATAATCTAGCATCACATCAGTGCAACCAGGCAAAAAGGGCCCTAGAATATAGATTATTACAAAACTAGAACAACGCGTACCTGCTATCAATTGAATGATTTTACAATTACGAATTATTTATTTATAAATGATAAAACTATACTATCAAAGTAACTCATCGAATACCTCATTCAATAGCAGGTATGTGATTCAAACTTGCATTGTGAACGTGAACTATGAATAAGTAAGTATACTTTCAATTGACGACAGATGCATTATTTCTCCCATTATATATGACGTTGATATAATATATGATTTCTAGAGTTATGAAACTGTATATCTATCATAGTCATCGAGTTTTCAGTAACAAGAAAACTTTTTTCTTTGTGTAGGCACATACTAAGGTTTTTGTGGAACTGGCAACACTGCACTACCTTCAGTATCTCTGTGGAATTTTAGTTCTGTGTTCTGTGATGTCAAAATCAAAACACTGTCAAGTGACTGAAGTGACATCTCAATCAAAACAATGAGGTTATATTATTGTTTAAGGAAATAATAAGAGTGAAACAGTGAAACAATTTGAATGTATAATCATTTGATATTTAAAAGAATATTATCGAAAATACTCACCAGTAGAAGCAGGTAAATGTTTTGGACTATCTTTTGACCACCACATTATTTTATAACGAGTTTAATAAACACTGATATTGGGTTATAATATGATGACAATTCCCTTGATGTGTTTCTTGGAGAGGCGATTGGCGGTAATCAGGCTAATAAATACGTGTTCTGTTGGTCAAAACGACTAAAAAATAATGTTGATGACCTCAAAGCCTCACCTCATCCAAACTACGATAGAGAATAAAAGCACTTTGTCCTTTTGATAAATGGGAATACGACTATTTAGGAGCAGTTTTCGTTATCAAGAAAAAATTGTTAAAAACATTAGGATTATTGGCAGTGACTATGATACCATTCAGAATCCGACTCTCACTGGAGCTAAATATAAAGTGTTTTCTTTGAGGTTTACTCTAATTTCCTGTTTTATTGTTAATTATCTCATAGTCATAGTTATTTTGCTTGAAATTTGGATGTACACTTACCAGCAGAAAAAACCGGTCAGTCAATAAATTGAGTCAAATTGATCGCCCTGTAATATTTTCAATTCATGTCCGATTTCCAATCGTAGATTTTATGTTTCAAAGTGTGAGCCTCCGTGTTAGCCTAAATTTTGATTCTTGAAACAAGCTGATGGCTTGATCATTATACAGGGAAAAACAAAAATCACCCTTCCACCAAGTCCTTCACTGTTCTTTCACTCTTAACTTCATAAGATTGTGGCAAAGGTGGGTGGTTAAACTTGGTTTTTGATTCACGTCAATCCCTTCCTTTCAGTGTTTCAAGAAATATGTATTTTTTAATGTTTCATCAACAATTAATTCAGAACCATTCATTAACATTCTGCTTCATCATGTTTTTGATTGAAGTATGATTTCTTTTCTTCCCTTCTCAACACATCGATTCTTGATTCACGTCAATATCTCCTTTTTTCAGAGAAGATACAAGTGTTTTAAGGTGGTATGAAATTTTTAAAATTGTTATTAGGAATAATTCCTAACCTAAAGACCATCATTGAGATGAAATTCCAGCCTTCATCCTGCCTTCAAGAGCTAGGAATATACCTTCAATGGGAATTTGTAGCAATTCCTCAGATTGCTTGAGAAAATTTGATTACCTAGATTTCAAGGCTATTGATGTACAGGGTGGGCCAAATTGAACACTTTTAAAGGGAAAGTCCAATTCTTATGAAAAACTCAATGGTCAAATCCTCATGTCTAAATCTGTCTTTTTTTTCGGAATTACAAGTTGTTTTTCGAAAATGAGGATTTTTGAAAAGTGGCTACAGATATATTTTTTTTTTTTGAAAAATTGTTTGTTCTTATGAAAATAACTGCAAAGCATTGAGTTTGTGATGGAAATTGTTCTCGGCCTTCCTATATCTAGTTCAAGAATATATAACTTGTTCTTCTTGAAAGGAAAGTTATATTTTGCAACTAGGTATATATGGTGACTTATTTCAGTGCCTGAGGATCAATTTTCATGACAAACACGATGCTTTGAAAATGTGTTCATGAAAACGAAGAATTTTTGAAAAAATAAGATTTTCAGCCACTTTCCAAAAATTCACATTTTTGAAAAACACCTTGTAACTCTGAAAAAAAAAATAGATATCGATATGCGGTTTTCACCTTTGAGTTTTTCATGTGAATTGATCAACAGGCACCGACATCAGTTTTTTTCTATCTTGTACGGGAATAGGACTTTCCCTTTAAAAGTGCCCAATTTGGTTCACCCTGTACATCTAGGAAGTTAGTTTTCTATTTGTTTTCAGTGATTAAGGTCTATCTTTGCTAAGTGCTTGGAGAGTGCTAAAAAACGAGATGAAAATGTGTGCGAGTTTTTGATCCATAAGTTTATGTAGGTTCCGCGAATTTACAAAATCCATACTTTTCTAAGACACATGGTTCTTCTCTTAAAAAGAGGATATTGTCGTGAATCAAGAACCACTGTGTTGAAAATGGATCACATTCACTCCAAAACATGAAAAAGCTAAGTTTTTTCACTCACTTTTGCCACAGAAAGTTGAGAAGTTAGACGTAAAATAGCTCGTAAAATACTATCTTTAGTGTCTCCTTGTATGATGATGAAGCCATCAGCTTTTATTGGGAACTAAAATTCAGGCTAACATTTCCAAACATCAATCTACAAGTTAATCTAGGATTCGGTCGGAATTTCACCAAAATCACACAAGAAAAAAAGTGCTTTGATATTGATCTTCTATAACAAAACATGGCCCTATATTTTTATACATGGTGATATTGAAGTAAATACAAATATTTCAAACCCTGAGGAAGCTCCACGTACAATACCGAACGGCACCAATGAAAAAATGTAGGGATCAAAATAAAATTTCAGGTGAAACCCCTTTTTACTACAAGTTTTACCTCGAGTTTTACACTATAGCGATTCTGACGTCACCTCTGTTCAAATTTCCGTGCGGACGGCACGCGGAGTTCAATAATTTAAATTGTTTTAAAGTGGCGTACTTAATTTTTTCTGTTTTTTTTGTTCAATTTTCGAGAAAACATTTTTCTTAAATATCTTTTGGACTGTATCATGTAGATGTGCTGAATATATGTACTAATTTCAAAAACACCTCGTGTATAGGTCAAATAGAGGTTCAGACAGTTTCTAAACACATTCTCATGTTCATGAGCATGAGTTATTCATACTTGAAAAATCTGACGCCATATCAACAAGACTCAGCAATTATCAGTTGTTTTATTATTTTATTATGAAATAGAATTGAATATTTGATGCGATGCTATCACTAAAGGAAAATTCATTCAATATCAATGAAATTCTACTGGAATTGAATGATGAATTAAGTCTGTTGGTTTCAAATGCATTACAGATGATTATTATAGAAATCTTCACATGAAGAAGAAAAGATGAAATGAAATATGAAACTATAAGGATCAAATATTTCACTATAAAAACACTTAATTATTTCAGGAAACTCTAGGGTTAAGGACAGTTCTTCAAATTTCTCAGGCTTCTATTTGTAAGGAGATTTTCAAGCCATGCCGCTACATAATAGATTTTTTCTACAAACGTCGAAAAATGACAAGGTTCGCGCATTGATAACAAATTGCGAAGTGACACTTTTTTTCAGTTTCCTACGTTACCATGATACCTTGCACAAAACAATGCGCGAAGTACCTACTTCGCGCATTGTTATGTAAAATATATGAGATATTTATATTTCGACTTTGTGGTCCTCAATCGAGCAAACATCCACGAAATCATCCATTTCTGAATGTTCAACAATAACTTTGTTTTATTTCTTGGAGCGCGCGAAAGGAAATTCCTATTATGTTCGTGGAACATCGTGCGTACCTAGGGAGGATAGGGGGAGGCCTTTTAAGCCAGTTCAACACTCTTTTTTATATCAAGCTGAGCATATTTTTACTTTAGAACTATATTTCTTAACGTTTGGAGAAAAAATGTTGTTTGCAACTCGAGCGCGAAATACTTTGGTCATCTCGACTATTTTCTTAACTCGGCTACGCCTCGTTAAAAAAAATCAGATCTCGATTTCTAAAGTAGCATTTCGCGCTCTAGATACAAAAATAACTATTTTGTCGCGTATTGAATTTATGATCGCTTTTGTTGAGCCCTTTATTATGGTTTCAATAAATTTATGCACATATTTAAAAAAAAGAGAGATGTCAGTTGTACTATTCCATATTTTCTAAAATACTCTTTACAAGACCCTCTTCTAGATAGTATGACAAAAAAACCGTGAGCTGAAATCTAATATTTTTCCCGTGTATAATACACTATTTTTTCCCGTCACAGAAAAAAATAACTCAAACAAAGTATCTAGAAACGCATTTACAGAACCGTGTTCACAGAAAATTTTCTCTCTAAATTTCACAAGAGGAATAACCTCTTGAAGGTTTACGTTCAACTTTGAAGCAGCATTTACAGGGTACAGTAAGACTTTCATGATGGGAATTTTGTCATAGCAGGTGGGTTAACCTTTGATCTACATTCTCTCTACGTTCGACGTGGTCTTTACGGGACACCCTGTATGATGAATTCTGAACATTTTCAGAAGGAACTACAAAATAGTCAAAATATCTACCGAGATATCTACCATTGTTGTTCAATTCAATGAACATTTGTGGAAATGACTTCGGGTTTTCTGTCACTATTTTGAGAAGGTTTTAATACAACAACTCAATTTTTTAAGTTTGAATTTTTTGCTTATAGTTAGTTAAAAGGTGATAAACTATGAAAAAACGTAAAATGTTTGGTTTTATTTTGGCGCTGGAAAGTAGGACGGACGGAGCAGTAGTCACTGCCAGGGGCGGCGAGTGCATGGGGGCATCGGGGCCAATGCACCCATGTAGACCATAGGTATGGGTGCAATGCACCCATTGGCCGAAACGAAGATGTACCTTTGTTTATGTTGATATTAACAACAGACCCGAAACCCGATTAGTTAAAAAACATTATATTCTAGTAGGGGTGTTTCACACGTAATGCAGAATCAATATTGCATCAAGCTATCTTCAAATTTGAAGGCATTTGACCTTGAGCCATAAAAAATTTCCGCCTGCGGCGCATTTTTTTTTTGCTTGCCCTTACCCCTTCATTTTGGCACCCATTGGGCAAAACAAAACTCGCCGCCCCTGGTCACTGCCGTTTCATTATTCAAATCTTATTCAAATGTTTTTATGGATATATCACTAAAAATTATACGCTATCATTCCTAAACGCCAACGGCCAAACACGGATAATGGCTATTTAGATATCGATAAGGGAGCAAAGGTGTAATTTTCCTTCCGTTTGTGAACATTGCGACACATTGCCATATACTTTGCAACCACAAATTATTATTTGATATTTCTTCCAAATTCCGTCGTCTTGTAAAAATTATACAGGGTGAGTCATGAGGAACCTGTACATACTCCTATCACGAATAGAGACCCCTGAGGGGAATACCTAATGTCTATCAGAAAGTGCCTTCTTCACTTCTTTTCCAATATACAGGGTGTTTCAAAAAAACCTAACCTCCTTGCTAGGGTAGGTAGAACATTGCAAAATAAGTTGGGTTTGCTCTGTGAAAAAATGTCGTGACGGCATCCGTTTTCATGATACAAGGTGTTGAAAAAATTATTTTTTCACACATTTTTCACGATCATCTCGAAACTACTGGCAACATTGTGATGAAATTTTGTATGGATGTTTCTTGAAATATCACACATCGCATGAATTTGTTTTTATATCTCACTCTCATAGAGGGCGCTAGTTACACGGTTCGTACCGAGTAGTTTTGAACATAACTTTCTTGAGAACTTGAACATTATTCAATTTTACACCGAAATGGTACTCTTGGTGAAACTTGATACTATGTTCCGTTTTCGGAATATTTCGATTTGAAAATAATGGAGTAGTAATGATGCTGGTATAAAATGAATTTTATTGTGTTCAATTACCTATTCATTCAGGTTCAAAAACAATAAAATTATTCTTGTGCTGAAGTTATTGATGGAACAAAGAATCATAAGTAAAAAATTGAGAGATATTTGACTAGAAACATGAAATATTGAATCAGTTAGAGTACGTGTTCGAAATGTCCACGTTTCGAGGAATACACGATTCTATATTCTATTTTTGAGAATGTATTATTCTTCCGAACAGTTGAGGATCAGCTGTTAGGTCATTTAGGTGATGTTCAATTATGTCTCACAACTCTTGACGTGAATTTACCTATGTAGCATAGACTTTCTGCTCAAGATACAACAAAACTGTGTAATCCATGTTCTTAGTCAAATCTGTTTCGATGTTATTCTTGTGATTCATTGTTAAATCAATGAGTTTTGCATCAGAAATGTATTGTTGTTTTCGGTTTTCAATAAATAGGTGATAATTTTTCATAATACTCTAATACATAGCTTTATACCAGCAACAGTTACCACTTTATCATTTTCAAATCGAAATATTCCGAAAACGGAACACATTATCGAGTTTCACCAAGAGTACCTTTTTGGTGTGGAATTGAATGATGTTTCAGTTCAAATCAAATTTGGATTGAAAAATCCAACCTCAAAAAAGTTATGTTCAAAACTACTCGGTACGAACCGTGTAACAAGCGCCCTCTATGAGAGCTAGATATAAAAACAAATGCATGCGATGTGTCAGATTACAAGAAACATCCATACAAAATTTCATCACAATGTTGCCAGTAGTTTCAACATAATCGTGAAAAATGTGTAAAAAAAATATTTCCTTCTATCATGAAAACGGATGCTACTTTTCCGATTCCGGTTGCTACTTTTCATTCCGTCTCACTACAAGGAATGACGTGGAATGACTGTTGACAGTTCGCGAGGTTCACAAGTTTATGATCCTTTCAAGTAAGATAGGTTTTATATGTTCATTCCCAGATAAAATTAATACTCCCGATCTCATAAAACTTTGTCCAATCACCACAATCACTGCACCAAATATGTGTTGATTCATTTTCTAGATTCTTAACTCTAGTATATTGATTTTGGAATTTTTCGGAGCCCCAATATAAGAATATATATCATCTATAATACGTCGATTCTCCCATGCAAGGTCAAGAAGTTTCCCGTTTTATTTGCAAACGGCATTCGGTTCCCACCACTGCTACCAGAATGGAACAAATAAAACGCAACTATTATGTCCACTTACAAGTATCTGTCACTTTCATTGAATTGTTTTGACTTCGGAATGAAAAATCAGCAGATTCAGTACTGTCAGTTGAATTCGGAATATAGCCTATTCGCGGAAATCAAGGTTACCAGGTGGCGCTCGGTTTTCATCGTTCCATGTCAAAGCCACGTCAAAACTGGTGGAAAACAAACTCAATCCTCACTCAATCCCATTAGTGCCATAAGCTCGTGTACTGTGTACTGATAAGAGTGATAAGTTTTTAAATTTCTTGACATTAATTGTCAATATGTTGTAGATGTTCTTTTGGCAGATATTTTGCTCTATTTAGATGGACAAAGCCGACCAGTAGTGGAAGGAGAATCAGTTCTCCGTGCTAATCATGTGATTTTGTGTGAGGCAGAAGACTTCAACAAAAGGCACATTTTTGCAATTTGTCTACAAACTTCGGCGATGAAATCTTCCCCACATGAAGTAAAATTGAAGTTAGGGTCCAGAGGAACTCCTGTAGAACAATGGATTTGTATTTTTTCTTGCAAAGCAGGACAATTTGGGTATTGTAAACATGTTGCAGCTGTTCTTTTTTATGTCAATTGATTTGATCGTCATAATTAGTTTGAATTGTTTGAACTATATCCAATTCTTCATTCGTTTCACTAAAGTAATAAGAATGTGATAATGTACAAAATTAACCAACTCAACCATCATCACTACCAACAGTGCCAACACTTTATGTCATTGACAAGTTTGACAGCTACAGCAAGCTGTATGCAATGTAGTCTATGGACTTTATCCATAGACAACAGTTTGTTTTCCCCCAGTTTGAAGTTCGTATTATGTAACCTAGATGTCGCCCACTTCGTGAATCTCGCGAATATCACAGAAAGACGCCGCACAACCTCAAATTATCTCACTTTCATTTCAGAACATTATCCACTGTAATAGCCAACAATATGGAGGGAGTGATCACAACCACTGCTGGCCTGAAACGTCCAGCTACCAGCATCCTACCATCGCCCTCTAAAAAAACGAATTTTGTCGGCATTTCTCCCCTTAGGGAGTTGACCAATGTCAAAACTCCCACTGACAGGGCTTTCAGAGTTTCGATAGAAGGAAACATCGGGGCTGGAAAATCGACCCTCATCAAATATTTCCAACATATGGATGTCATCGAAACATACCCTGTAAGTGATGATCGCTGACCTATAAATAACAAATGGAAGATCAATGCTGATTCTCAGTTTAACGCCGAATTGCCGAATATCTCAGAATAGTTCCCAAATATTCGTAATATTCCGTACCAGTATTTTTCTTACAGAATCATGCTATTAAAATGTTCATTTCAATATTCGGCAAAATTGCTGAATATCTTGATCTCAGGATAGTTAACAAATATTCATAGCTACAGAATTTTCACTACAACTAACTGTATAACCTATATTACTAATGTTCTGTAATACTAATACAACATACTCGACCGTAAGGGACAATATTTGGTCAAATGGCCGAACTTCGCGGTGGCCGAGTATTCCTTGAAGCATCAGTTTTGTTTCTTCACAGGAACCACTGGAATGGTGGAGCAACGTGGAAGGCCACAACCTTCTAGATTTTATGTATTCGAACATCACCGATATTACTCGATGTGTTCCAAAGTTTCCTAAAGTGTATGGCATTATTGACCGTATGAGCTAGTATTTGACCAAACCGCTGAATATTTAGATGCATTCTGGGAATTTTTATAGTTTCACAAACCCAGTCTCTTCCATACAGAATTAAACTTCAAAAATGTATGACCTTCATACCGATATTCCTCAAAATTGCCTAATATCATGATCTCAGAATGGGTCCCAAATATTCGTAGCACTAGTATTTTCAATATAACTAACTGTATTACTGATATATACTGTATTACATCATACTCGGCCATAAAGGCAAATATTTTGCCAAATGGCCGAATATTGAGACGGCAAAACAGTTTGTCGAGTGTTGCATTTTTTCAACAGGAACCACCATAAAGGCAGAGGAATGTGAAAGGCCACAAACTTCTAGATTTTATGTATTTGAACATGACCCAATGGCTCGAAGTAATCCAGAAATTCCAAGAGTGTATGGAATTATTGAAAGTATTTGCCAGTATTCGGCCAAATCGTTGAATATTTCAATGCAGTTTATTAATACCTATAGAACGTTCATATCAATATTCTGTAAAATTGCTGAATTACATGATCTCAAAATTGGTCCCAAATATTCGTAACACTCGTATCTGCACTATAACTAACTGTATCACTAATGTTCTGTATCACAACATACGTAGAGGCAAATATTCTCGCAAATATCTGACGAAATTGCCGAATATTGCGATGGCCAAATATCTTGCCGAGCATCTCGTTTTTTCAACAGCAATCACTGGAAAATCAGATGCAAACTTCTAGATTTTTAGTACTCGAACATCACCGAATGACTCGAAGTGTTCCAAAGTTTCCGAGAATGTATGAAATTATTGAATGTATGTATGAAAGTTTCGTAGTATCAGTACTTTCACTACAACTAACTGTTTTACTAATGAACAATATACTCGGCCGTAGGGGCCAATATTATTGTCAAAACGGCCGAATATCGTGGTGGCAAAATAGACCGGCCGAGTATTCGTTACAGCACTAGCTTTTTTCTCCTCAGGAACCACTGGAATGGTGGAGGAACTTAGAAGGCCACAACCTTCTGGATCTAATGTACTCGAACATCACCGAATGGCTCAGGGTGTTCCAAAGTTACGTGCAATTCACGCGATTGGCCATCCAGACGTCGAAACCTTCTAAGAGTACCACCACCGTGCAAATGTTCGAAAGGTCGATACAGAACAACAGGTTCTGTTTCATGGAACAGGCTCATAGGAGCGGGTACTTGCATGGTGCGGATTATACGGTGCTCGATCATTGGTACAGGTGGATCAGAGCCAATGAGGACATCAGTTTGGATTTGATAGGTAGGAACTTGTGCTGCCGTAGGTAAAGTGAATTCAATGTGGGTTAACAGATTTTGATTGTCCGCCAGATTGCGCTACTGAGACGTGAGGTCAAAGTTGATAGAACTGATAGATATACTTTTTTGTGTCATTTGGCCTTTTCCTACAATATCTTCTCTGTGAAAAACGGAAGTCTGCTCAAGTCTTACCATAACTTCCTTTTGTTTACATAGACGGTTTTGTCCCTCTGCTACACGTCAGGATACAACACAACCTCGAACTAAAATCTACTAGTTTTTTCGCTTTTTTTATTAATTTCCAAAATACAGCAATTTGAAATTATTAATGAAGCAGTCTATGACGTATTACCTAGATTTAGTGCCATTTAGGGACATTTGTCTATGATAAATTTCTTTGCTTATTTCCATCACGCCTACGTACCCGAAAATAAGAATAAGAAGGAAGCTCTCAGTATGGTCTAACCTCAAACCTTCAACAAAAATGTTAATGGGTTGCGTGCAAGAACTGTCAGATGACCGACCCTGGAGGCAAAACACAACGTCACTTTTCTTATTTGTTTACAAGTGATCGAAATAGTTTTCCACAATTATTTTGGCATATGAATCGAATTTTTTCGCTATTCATCAATTCGCTCATGCCATCACATTGTGCTGTTGTAAAATGCACAAAAACTGCAGCGGAAGATGAAGGAATCCGGATGGTACATTATGATTTAAAAGTAAGTACCTACTATAGTCACTCACATATAGTTTTCATTTTTGAAATTTGGTTATTTCTCTGATTTCTCATCGGAATTTCTGCAATAGGAGCTAATAGAAATATACTTGAAATTTCTAGAATAATGCAAGGAGATTGGATTCATGCAATCAATCGGGAGGACTGGTCTGACGACATGCTGACGATCGTGTGTGTTGTAGACATTTTCAATCTTTTAGCAGTATTAGCTTGTATTGCAGAAGTGGCAGAAGGCAGAAGGAATTTTAATAAGGAATGACAAAATTTCATAATGATAACTATGTGAGATTACTATTTACCTGAAAAATCATATTCCCTAGTCTCTTGCTGCATTTTTTGTGCATTGCACAACAGCACAATGCGAAGGCATGCTTGAATTAATGAATAACGCAAGAAACACGATTCGTATGCCAAAATATTGTGAAAAACTATTTCAATCCTTTGATTCCTCTGTAATAAATAAAAAAGTGAGGTTGTGTTTCAATAATTCACAGAAGAATGAGGTTGTATTTCAATATTTTGCCTCCAGGGTCGGTCATCGTGCACGCGACCTATAAAGTACATATCAGTATGATGTGAATTAGGTTTACAACCACTGTTGTCAGACATAAGTTATTGATTGCTTGGAGAAATTGAAATATCCCTTCAATCTTTCGACAGGAATCCAAATTAGAACTATCAACGTCAAAAACAAGTTGTCAGCATCAATGTAATCTTGTATACACCCATAAATTTATAATCGTCAATTATTATGCTATTCTAATAATTAGGTTTCGTCTATAATTCCCATTTCATCAGGTATTCGGTATATAAATTCAAGAAATGATCCAATCCTCACTCATACTATTTATTGAATACTTCATTTCAGTTACCGTTGCTAGCGACATTTTTCGAATTATTCGGGTCGGTCGAAACGGTTCGCATGTTTAGCTGTGCGTATATGGCTTTTCCAAGTAGTACTTCATGAAAATGGTGGAGGAGCTACTATATTATCTTCACGATTTTTTTAAACTCAAATTTGATCGCACAATAAAAATATAGTAAAGTGCGGAAAAATGATACTTCCCGCACGCAAATGCCGTTGACACGAACGATGCGAAGCGGAATTTGGGAAGCAGTCGAGTGCGGGAAAGACACTTTCCGCATGAATTCGGAACAATATTTTTTCACATGCGTAGGAACTTAATTGATTGTAGGTAAGCTTATTGCGAAAAGCCAGCATGCCTATGATGTTTGGCCTCTAGGTTTCAAACATTTCTTGAAAATGAGCCTAAAACACTTCTTCTTTATTTGGTGTTTTCACTTTTTCACTATTGCACCATTCAATAAATCCCGTGTAGTGCTTCTCATACCTTCCTTAAGACATCGTTGGCATTAACTCATCTGTATCGCATCTGTAGCTGGAAGGTTTTCATCGCAATTCCACTGAATCGAAAATGACAGTAACGCTTCTACTGTCACTGTGAAAATTACACTAACTAATTTGGGTTTAGGGGCTATAGGGGGATTTATATAATAATCCATTATTATTTTTCAATATTTCCACCACTCATATTTTGCGAGAATATTATATAAATGTATAGGGTGAATCACGCACGCTTGTAAAAAAAGAATATGTGTTCTCATAAACTGTATGTGATAGGAATGAAATTTTGAATGTTGGAAAGTTGCTCATCGGGGTTCTTTGCAGTTTACCTGCGAAGCACACCCGAAGTCGTCTACGAACGGGTGAAAGCTCGAGCCAGACCCGAAGAGAGCGGAATCACCCTGCAATATCTGACAGAGCTCCACGACAGTCACGAGCGATGGCTCATGACCGACGACGAGCGGTTCAACACCATCCCGGTTTTGGTGTTGGACGCCGATAAAACGATTGATGAGATCACTCAGCAGTACAAGGAGAACGAGAAGAAGATTTTGGGGTTCGAAAAGCGCGAGAGGAAGAACGTCGAACAGGACGAGAAGGATAAGGTCAAGAAGGCGTTGTTTTCTTGATAGGGAATTCATGCAGGGATTCTGTTTGCAACCAAAGAGTTTCTATAATATTTTCCAGAAACAAATATTCACGATAGAATCCCTATTATCAAGACATTTAAGAGTGATTTATTCCACATATACAGTGCTGATACCGGAGTGCCTACAGTTCTGAACCGATCATTTCGTTTTTGTTTCACCAGATATATTATCGATGGTTCCACGAACGTTTACACATATTTGCCAAATTTAATTACAATATATGTTGAAAATTGTGAAATATCATTATCGAATTTTTTTATTGACAAAATCCCACAAGCCGCGTGATTTTGTCATTATGACAGCGAAAAAAGTTATGACAACCAGCCATAAGCAAAAAAATGATGAAATAAATTGTCTTACCGAATTACACTCTAGCTTTTTTTGAGTGGAAGTGAACTTGGCATTTATAATTCTTTATAAAACTGCCAGAAAAAATTACTCCCTAGGACTCGTAATTTTTTCAGAGGCATTTTTTTTTCGTCAAATTGCCAGGCAACAAAATTTTTATTGATATATGTCAAGTTTACTTCAACAAAAAAAAGCTCTCGTGTAATTATGAGTGAAAAATGGGAAAACAATCTTTGAGATTCTTTTACTGTTTTCTGAAAAAAATTCATGGGGACTTTTGTTGCATCAGTACGGATTTAGAATCATTTTCATAGGTTTCTCCGGGTCCTTTGTAAGGCAAGTTAATTCGGAATTAGACCAGCTTTGAGATTATGCAATGATTCTCTTCAGCTATAGGGAATCGTAGAAAAAACAATGGGAATTAAATACAGGGCAATAAATAATTAACGCGACCCAACTAACTAATGATAGCGAAATAATTTTCTAAGAGTGCAAAATTGTAAACGGTATTTCTTCGTGTATATTTTTGCCTCGATTTTTGTCGCGTTCTCGTTCGCTGTGTTATCTTTGAAGTTGGAAAGATTTCATGTATAGTTATTTTGAGTTAGAGTAGTAATTTCACCTACTTTTCTTAATTATATCATAATGAAAACGTTCTAAATATGTAAATAACAAGAAGTTCAAATTTAGAGTTGTTTCAACGGACTTATTGAATAAACTTGTTGAACCACATCTAGAGATTCATTGATAAATCAATGTCCATGTTGCCGATGTATCAGTAATTTCAAGGGTGAGGCATTTCACATTGTAAGGTTGGCTACAAAAATGTCAATTGTCAAATGTTGACAAAATCGCAAAAAGAACCTAGTAATGTATCACGTGATTCATTATGCCCACATTGAGACGATGACATTTGGGAATGCTTCGTTAACCTTTTGGCACCCGTGATTTTCAAACTGTGATTGACAAATGACAAAGAAATCGACAGGTGACACGTGTGGATACGACAGTTGTTGCCAACACAGTGACATGAAATGATTCACCCTTTTCAGTTGAAAAAGTCAATTTTAAAACCATCTGTTGTTTAAGCAATGTTTGGATTGGTGAATTAAAGTAATATTTGATGATTCATGTTTTGTCGATAAATAAAAAACACGACTAAAGTTGTGAATGATGACAATAGCTAGAATTTAAAATAAAAAATGTCCTTATATAATGAGTGTCAGAACATGAGTAATATTTCGAAATCAGAAGGTAGTACAAAAACATTAATCACCATTATCACCAAAGAATTATACTAAGTTAGGTCAAAAACTAGCCATTGAACCTTGAACAATGTCCATGAAATAGACAGGTAGTCTCATAACTTGTCAGCATGTACTGACGTCACTTACTGAATAATTTCATTAGGAAAGACAGCTCTATTTTATCAATTATTCAATTATAATTTATTAAATTTATAAAATTTTGAAACATATATACCTGCGATAAACATGATAACAACATTAGCTATTTAAAATTAGTTTATTCAAAACAACTAACAATTGTATATTATTATTTAGTACACCTTGACACAAATTGAAAAAGTTCGTACTAGAAACACCAAATGGAATAGGGTTTTTGCAGGCAAAGTATATACCTATATGATTCAGATAATAAATAAGATTCCTTCCATAATTTGACTTTTAAGTAAATATACCTTCCCAACTAATACCCTACACCCTACACCTATTCGTGGTAGCTAAGGTCATGAAACGGCATGAAAAATACAAGAAAACATGTCCAACTGCCATAAGTAATACCACGATGTTCTGAATATTCAAGATAATTCTGTCGCTTCATTCTTCACGAAATTGTCGTGTTGCTGAGCAACACCACGAGTCCTATTTATCCAAAATTTCAATATGTTGTAAAAGACTCCCGGTATACATGGTATGATAGTTCAACACAAGAAGTTGTATAACGCCTTACTCATCCCGAAATGTGACGAAGAATGATGCGAATGGAATGATTAGTCAGTCTCTGCCTGATCACGACGGTGACAGGAGTTATATTGTAATATTTAATTGTTAGCATATGGTGGTGGTTCGGTTGTGATTAAAGTATTTACAGTGTCAAAGTGTTATTATTCGTCCAGTGAAATTCTTTACAATATGAATGTACAAATTAAGTGAAAACAATAAAAAATAATACTTATATAATTACATATATATATTGAGGCGTGCGCTGGTTTTCCATTTATTGGTAAGGCTATTGTCAATCTAAATGAGAGGATACCTCTCGCCTACTAGCTTGCTTTTTCATCGCTGATCGACATTGGTAAGGCGAAATAAGAAAAGTTATTATCTCAAGGGAATTTAAAAAAACCGCCACGGAGACGAAACCAAACCACAGATTAACAAAATCTGACCAAACTGAGTGAGAGGTCTCTCTCGCAAGGAACCGGGGTGATATTCAATACTTGCTCGAGACCGTTGATTGATATATTACGCTTACGCTGGGAAGATGCCCAACCTGTGTTCTTTGCGAGTCGATGCCCCGCTCATCCCCTCGTCTATCGTTTAGCCACTGTGAGGTAGCGACTCCACTAGGCACACAGAACATGTCTGAACTAATTGTACAGATTACTACACTTTTGTACAGAATTACAGATCTCATTCCACCGCGTGCTATCGCTCCAGAAATTTTTGTTTATCCTTGTCTTCTACGATGAGACCCGACCCGCCCGACCGGTTCCGATAAAAAAATGTTTGCTACGGTCGGTGAATCCCATGGACAGTATTGATTTTTCCCCCGGTTTCTTGCGGAAGAGAGAAGAACATATTATGATCTCTCACTCAGTTGGGTTCCTACTCCGTGGCGTTTTTTTAAATTCCTTTGTGAATAACTTGTCATACTTTGCCTAGACCCTAGACCAATATAATTTGTATATCTGGATAAACATCTCCTCCTTTTCCGTTGATTATTTTTTTCACTCAATTTGTATCCATTTTAAAGTTTTGTGTTCTATAAAAATGAAATAAAATACATCATCTATAATAGGCATAATATTCATTTATTTATTGGATTACAAGAGTTGATGCTGCTTGAAGAGATAAAATCAACAGAAAACAGCTACATTTCCAGTCTATATGCCACGATATATAATCATGAAATCGGCGTTGATATTTTGTGATATCAGTAACTTTTTCTGAGTAGAATCGATTTTGCCGCTCCAGAACAACGGAGTACAGACTACGGAACGCTCAGAATCTCCGCCCTAACAACACAGGGATGTTCTAGGTACGTACCCTTTTTGTCACACGGTACAAGGACATAATTGGGGTATCCAGGAGATGTCCCGCAGTGGTTGTCCAGTGGACATCCGGCCCCGTACATCCATAGGTTATCCAATCGCGTCCTTGGAATATCTCTGATATCTATTCACAACAGAGTCATTGACTTTCATTAAAATATTGAGTTGAATTTTTATGGAAATGTTTAGTTTTTTCCGGTAAATAATTGTAATAAAAATAAAGAAAATTGTCTCAGAACTTCTCAAGAAATGACCATTTTTCGCAAACAGAAATCGTAAATGCATAATGCCCCTCATTTTTAAACATCCACGAATGATAATAATTATACCCAAATCCTAACAAAGTTGTATTTAATCAGGTTTCTGCAGTTTGGTCCTGTTTAAAAATCTGTTTGGTACATAAATCTTCAGAAGGCATATCAGTCAATGGAGCAAGGTGCGTGCCTGATAAGCTAAAGGTCCCGGGTTCAAGCCCTACTCGACCTAACGTTTTTTTCTTTTGTCGAAGGGATGTCCCTGGAATATCCTTGGGACCTCCTAGGGATATCCTTTCTTCGTACTTATGGTACATCCCAGGGACGTACCAGACGGAAATCCCTTGGATGCTTTTTTTGTCAGCCAGCTGATGTCCCTGGGACGTCCCTAGTATGTACTCTGTCCCGACAAAGGATTTCTCTGGGATGTCCTGTATAAAATCAGGGACGTCCCTGGGAAGTCCCTAGGATGTACTTGTGTTGTTAGGGCGACAAACGACGGCTTGGCAGCCCTATCGCCGACAAACGCACCGAGTCGGCCGCCCCACAAAAATTAAAGGAAATTATTGGCACTCCAAGTTTCGGCAATACATAGGTCGGATCATATACCAGTATAAAATATAAAATACTTTGGATTGATAGCGGTATAGAATTGTCACGCAATGTTCCGCGTTTTTCATGTGATAAATATCAGTAATTTCAATAATATTTCAAAAATTGTACATAGCTCTGACAAGAAAATGATTTGCGACAGTGAATTATCGTTTGATTTAGTAATTCGACATAATGGAATATGAAATTCCACTCAAACAGACCCATTTAGATTCAGTTCTAGGGTAAAATACACTAAGGTGACAACACTGGTCCGGGTTCGTGAATTTCAATCGAATTTATGAGCAGCTTATATATTGATATCCGCTGACCAGTTTATTCCACAATCGCCAAAAATGGAAGCATTTATTGTTGAGACATTAAATTTTGTGTTTCACTCCAAAATTCGATTTCTATAAACTTTTTTCATGATCTCACGTCCGTGATGCGCTCGTTAGAAGCACATCCAGTACAACTATTACTAACAAATTCGAATTTACCGCCATATTAGTTAGACTCGTACTGATTGATCGTGGATTCGATACAAGCGTTCTGGATTATGGATTGTTTAATTGTTCCAAGTCGCACGCCATCTGCATTGATCATTCTAGAACACGTGATTTTGACATGGTTTCTTGAGGGGCACACAAATTATCTGTTAGGTTACCTTTGATGAGCATTGCCCAGGCCGTCCCTCTGCCACATCCACAATATAATAACAGTTTCACCAAACAAAATCATGAAATTCTTTCTGGTTCCAACTCGGATTCCAAGGAAAACGATCCCACTAATTCTGGTTTTCTATGACAGATCTTGACAAAATACAATGTTTGCCCCTCAGCAACCTGTCAAATGACGTAATTCTGGAATGATTAATTCCAATAGATTCTCTTCGAAAGTGGCGCACCTGCCCGTCAAATTACGAAGTATTGCACCGACATCGTTCGACACTATCGCTGCCACTATGTGAGATTTCGAACTATGGTACGCCATCTAGTTGTGAGATTTTTTTGGACCTCGTTTTGCCCCGTAAGGTTGGGCATCTTCCCAGCGTAAGCGTAATATATCAATCAACGTCGAGACATACGTTTATTCTCGCCTTTAGAAATCTTTGCAATTTGTGTTCTGTGCTAGGTTGTAGGCAAATTTGTAGGTTAAATGTCAATTGTCAGTGTCATTGCCATATGGGTTTGTTTTTGTTTTTTGTTTATGAATAGTGGAGTGTTGGGAGTTTTGGTTGATAATTCATGAAAACAAAATTCCTTTTGAAGAATAATTGTTTATTGTTCATATTGAAATAATGGAAGTAACTATTTCAAGTAAGTTTTTTCATTCAACACTTGTATTTTTATTGTTTGAGATGTTTTAGATTTCACCAAGGTCCTTCCAGAAGTTGAAAAAGCAATTCAGAATTGTACATTTTTGAGTATAGACTGTGAGTTGACCGGTCTGAATGTAACACGAAATATAAATTCATATGATGCACCAGGACAATACTATGACAAGGTACGAAATAATTGTAAAGAGTTTTTGGTCATACAGTATGGACTCAGCACTTTCAGGTAAGCTCTAGCTTTAGTACTTTTGGGTGCATTTAGAAATACTACAAGTTAGGCATGAAGTCAGTCCATTCAATAAACATTTTAAGTGTTATGTGGAGGATTATGTTATTTTTCAATCAATATTCTGTACCTATTAGTTTATCACTGGGTTTATCATCAGATATAAGTACTTCTCATTCTGATTTTCCTCCTAGGAAAGTGCTCATGATTAAGGTAAATAATTATTAATTTTCAAATTATTCATTGTGTTTTGCTTGTATTAAAACTTATATAGCTTTTCATTCTAGGTATGATTCTGAAAATGATAAATTCAAGCAGCAGAGCTACAATTTTTACATATTTCGAAGGCCAATGAACAGGAATATACCAGACCAAAGGTTCTTATGTCAGGCTTCTAGCATTCATTTTCTGATCAACCAATGCTTTGACTTCAATAAACTTTTCAAAGAAGGTATCTATATGAAAACATACACATTCTATGATGAAAGTGATACATCTTGAAAACATAATATATATAAACCTATTTAGACATATTGATTTTTTTTCCATAGAATTATGGAACTTGGGATATTTAGTTTCAAAATTGGTTCAAACTATCACCTAAATTATTGTCTGAATATTTTTTTGTGAAATCTGTGTAAATACTTTACCAACTCAATATACAGGTACCTAATATAAAAAAAAATAGCAATTTGAATGTGGATTGGATAATTAAATGAATTATCCTATAAATTTTCTGTTTTGTTGAATAGAAATATATAATGCAAAATTCAGGTATTCCATATCTTAATGATGAAGAAGTTAAGAAATATAGAAGCAACCTAGAAGACAACTTCAAAAAGAGAAGTGATTTAATAGAATCTCAACAAAATGGTGGACATGAGGATATTATTCCTATTCCAGAAAATGCCCAGGATTTCATCAAGGATGTTATGTAAGGATATTCTCATGATATAAAATGCTTTTGTCTTGATTCATGAAAAATATATATTTTTAAATTTCGAATGATAGGCCCCATATTAGTTGGTATGTAGTTTTTGAAATTTTTTTGCACGACCGGGCGTGAAGTTAGCACTTTACCGCCCGGTTTTGCGTGGGTAAAGTGGCACTTCACCGCCTGCAGACTACTTTATTGCCTGGTGTATAGGTATAACTCATAATAAGTATTCCTGTATAATTCTGGACTTCATGCTTTTGTTGTGATGACTCATTATCTAATATTACAGTTCTCTTCATATTCCCTAATAACACAAAGCTATTCAATGGATGTCCATTGGATAGACGTACATGGACATGCTGGATGTACATTGGATGGCTCAAAATGTCCAGCTTCCATCCAATGGACATCCATTGTAAATCCAGAGGCCACAAGTTTGGATGTCCTTTGGATGTACATCATGTACATCTACTGTACAACTACTGTACATGAATTGTATAACTATTGGACATAAATTGACTAACTGTTGGACATGAATTGTACACCTATTGGACATAAATTGTACAAATATTGGACATGAATTGTACAACTACTGGAAATGAATTGGACAGCTACAGTACACCTATTGTACAAATATTGTACATGAATTATACATTTTATGTATAAGTTTTGGGCAATATAAATAAAACTCTCCCCCTATGAATTTTGAATATATTTTTTCTTCTATAATGTTGTCCCACGAGTCTAAAGTAGGTAGATCTGTTTTTGCCCTGCTATGATACATTTACATATAGTATTCACTTGTACAGCTTAAATGGTTGATTTATACAACGTTCATTATTCAATCACAATTTCACTTAATTGGGTTAATTGAGAGAAATAAATCACTATTGAATATTTCGAATATATAGGTAACGATGGATGATTCCTTCGAAAATAATAAATGAGAGATCACACACACACACACTTTTCATAAAATAATATGTGAACAAGTTGAAAAAGTAATCATTACACATAACCTCAAATTGACCTCGAATAATTAGTTCACTAATATATTGCTGCATGAATCTGCCTCAAACGATACAAACTTCTGCATACAATAACAGTAAACACCAACGACTCAAGGGACGACTCGAATAATTAGTTCACTAATATGCTGCATGAATCTGCCTCAAACGATACAAACTTCTGCACACAATAACAGTAAACACGAACGACTCAAGGTACGGAATACATGACGAACGACAATAGAGAACACGAAACAAAGATGGCGATGGCATTTACATTCTCTCAGGCCGATAGATACATTATGGATATCCATTGGAAAGGTATCATTAGTAATCCATTGGATGAGAATTTATGTTTATCCAATGGATGTACAATTCATGTCCATCAATATCCGGAACTTTTTTGGATATCCTTTGGAATAGTGTCGGTGGTATTCCATTGGATAGGCATTTTGCTACATCCTATGGATGTACATTTCTTATCCATGGATATCCGAAACTTTTTTGGAACTAAAATGGACATCCATTGGATGGCCTGTGTTATTAGGGTTTCTGAGATGAAAAATGATATGATTGAACCCAAAATAATAAGTTATCTGTGATGACATTAATTGACAGAAATATAAGTCTACTGTTATTTCAAAAAATTGATTATGAGTTACCATGGTGATCATCTCAGAACATGATGTGTTTTACCTATATAGTATTGTCTGTGTAGAATATTAACTTGGCAAAACTTTTCTGAGGGGTGTTTATAATTTTTTCAATAATAACTACCCCTTGAACGGCCTGCAAATTCATCATCTCAGAACATGATGTTCTTCATCTATTGATTAATACCTGTGCAGGTTATGAACTTGGCTAAACTTTTCTGACTGTTGTTTATGAAATTTTCAATACTTAGAAGGTTGAAACACTTGAAACTACCTCTTAGACAGCCTGCAATTTGATCATCTCAGAAAATTATATTCATTACCTATTTAGTGATGTTTGTGCAGAATATCAACCTGGCTAAACTTGTCTGAGATGTGTTCTAGATTTATTTGATTATTTAAAAATACATCCGACGCCACTGATGGAAGTTTCCTTCAAATGAATTTTCATAAAATAAGTTCGGAACTTCCCAGTTTTATGTCCACGCTGTATAGATTGGCGACGGATAAAGTCCAAGTCGTTTTCATTTTCAAATTGAAACATTTTTTAATTTTCCGGGCTGAAAACTGTGACGTACATTCTGAATCTAGTTTGGAAATAGCTGATGGTGAAGAAAATGATGTGAAGAATATAGCTAGCAAATAGCTAACGAATGAAAAACTAATGAAAAAAAATAGAAGAAGAAGTAAAACTGGTAAACAAAAGTATACATAACCAGAAATGCTGTAGATGCCTTCATTCTGACAGGTTAGGTTATGGTTTCGTTAGTTATACCAATGACGGCTAAATGGACTGTCTGACGGGTTATACATGACTGTTCATTCAGCGAAAATCGCCAAATCGCCCTGTAATGAAATTTTGAAGGGACGGCAAGTGGCGTCATCTATATCCTGTGTCAAATGAGCTATTCAACATAACCTGCATTCATGATCCTGCATTATTTGTTGACAAATTTTCTCACTGTCAGCCTGTCACTCATTGTCACTCGAGATTGGAGAGCTTTGTTCGAGATACCAAGTAAAACTGTGAAAAGGCCAACAAAATGAAGTGGTTAGGAGTGTTCATGCCAAATAACGCTATTATATGCATAAATAATCATGCCATTCAAGTGGAAATCATCTTCGTCAATAGGTAAGGACATGTTCAATTATTTCATTGATTGAATTTTTAACTGCCTAATAAGAGCCATGGTAGCCCTAATAACCAGATACTGCTGTATTCTCAAAGTGAAATGTACTGCAACATTTCATATTGTTTCACAAAATCTGTGATCTCAAGTGATATTTCTTAATTTGTATTTTCAGGAAGATACTGAATTTTCTCAACACAATGTTGAAGCAGCTGTTCATGAGGTTTGATTGAATGATGACTGGAGACATTCAATTCTGATGATGCTATCTATGCATAACTAGAATATTTACTATAAGGTGAGCTTTGTGAACAGTTGTTTAATTAGGTGAGGGTTCAGAAAAATAATCAGGCATTTTAACTACCATATCAGGTATCTCCATGAATAGCAAATTAAATATCAATTTATCATTCCATACTTATATATTTCATATCAGATATACAGATAAATTGTATTGCAAAATTGATAGAACTATGCCAGCTTCAAAATCATTAAATGTTCTATAGCAAAATTTTTTTATAGGTTCTGGGGATGGCAACACAATGAATATAAAACGGCTTGGATATGGGATCTTGACTTTGGAGAATGAAGCTAGGTTACCTGGAGATCCTTTGGACACTGGAAATAAAAGAGGAAGATGATATATTATTGTGTATCCCACAATTTCTATTATCTGTTATATAAGCTCCATCATCAGCTAATTTAATGGAAAAAGAAATTGTTTATTATGGTGACTGTCCATGGAATAAAATTATTATATTACTTGAATAAATGCTTTCTATATACATATCATCTATCTATCAATCCATATTTTTCAACCATTTTCAAAACTTTGTGGAGACAGAAATAGTTATATGCATTTCAAATGTTGAGTTTGCACTCTTTTCATCTTTTTAGATCTACTTGGGGAAGCTATATTTAGTGGGCTAGTATCAGTGACAACATTTTACCTCTTATTCCACATACCATCTCATACTTCTATCAAGAAAACAAGAAAGCTATACAGGATCTCATTGATAGATGGGCATACATAATACATAAACTTAGGCCAAATAATTAATTTAAATTTCTTGTGACAAAATCATCACAGCAGTGAAAAACATTTTTGAAAATATCTGATAGTATCATTATTCTGTGATATTTGCCAGGAAGCAAGAACACAAAATACCTCAAATTGTAATTGTGGCACTCGAAAAAACTCCAGATGTTGGCCTAGACTGATGATTCTCTAGGATTCAAAGAGCATACCTTAAATTCCATTCCTCTTTCATTCTTGGTGTTGCTTTTTGGGATGCCCATCCTGTAGCTATCCCACCCTACCTAGCTACGCAACAACGATGCAGACTAAACATACCTTGAAAATTATGGTAAGCGATCCTTTCTGAATGTAGATCCGATCACTCTATAGTGTCTTCCAAAATCATTGACACAAACTTCAACACCAGAATTAACATCAGTGTTCTGATGGTGGAATCGAGGCTGAAATTGAAAATCATCAGAAAAATGTACATGAAAAATCATATTCTTACCAATGCCTTCCAAAATAAAATTCGACCATTCTTGCTGTGGAGTTTATCACTGGGTATGAGTACTACATTTCATTTCATACGATAGGCTGTAAATACACGATGAAGACACAACTAGCAAACCTGAATAATAAACTACCAGAACTAAACACAAAGAAGAATGCTTGATTGAATGAAAATCCGAAAAAGTAAAGGAATTTATCGATATTCAACAGAACACATCAGGGACCTGACAGTGACACAGTTTTGACACTTGATAAAATAACAATAATTCAATATAACCTATGTTATTGGAAAACAACCGAATGAGAGCCAAACAAATGACTTCTCCGCAAAGGACGGCAAGTAAACCCCTCTGGTGGAGAATACACTGAACTGAGTGATTGGACAGTCATGTAGTACTCGTCAGACAGTCCATTTAGCCGTCATTGGTTATACATTGAAATATCTCGAATAGAGCTCGATCCTAACCGAAAATATCATTGAATCAATGAATTACTATCGGCTACATTCAATGATACTATCCCTCATAATTTACTGCCATCGGTCAGAACAGAATGAAGCCGACACTCATGGCTCCTTCCTCTTGTTGTGCCTGTCAGTATATTGAGTGGTGTGGACGGACTGGAAGTATTAGGCGCTGTTGCAAGATATAATCTGCAACTTCCCTAGAAAATAGATATGTTTTATTGAGGTACGAATTCATTAGCAAAAAAATGACTGACATGTTATGAATAACATATTGTAATAAAACGATAGTGAAAAATTATAGATACTATCGCAAAATATCATAATTTATCTTCATTAGTAATCAACTTCATTCAGCCAATGAGAGATTTATGGGAAATTATTCATAATACTTGACAAAGTAGGATTGAAAAACCTAATATACCCCACTGCTGTTATGCTATAACTATTATGAATTCAAAGAACAATTTCCGGAAATCTATACATATTGATGATATCGGCAACGTCGTACTGGCACAGGGGATCGTATTTTAACTCTGTGTGAATGTGGATTTTCAGAAAGTAAGTCAAAGGAATGGTGGAGGAGCCAAGTTCCTCTTTTATTTATTTTATTCACACACGCGCTGTAGATTTGTTAATGGTGAATATTTTTTCATGAAACTTGGTACTAGTGATTCACACGAGACCAACGAGACGAGACTTCCATAAAGTTTCGTCTCGTCTCGCCGATATGGAATATGAAGTCTTGTCTCGAGTCTCGTCTCGCAGCTTCGAGTCTCGTCTTGTCTCGCGTCTCGTACGAGAGTCTCGCAGATGTATCGCAATTTCGTCATGCATAATCTTGTTCCAGTCTAGTACGGAATATTTACCTTCACCTGCTTTTCAGGTATAATGTAGAAGTAGGAAGAAAAAATTACAACAAAAATAACATCATTCATCTAAACAAGGAAAAAAAAATGCATTATATATTCGAAAGTAATAAAAATGAAATGAAAAGTAGGTAACACGTATATTCTAAACAAATAAACAGAACAAGAACTTTAATCCAACATCATTCCGCCGTAAGAGAGAGAATAGTCTGTTTTCGTTTCACGCATTACGTCGTTTTACAACAATCATGGATTGTGTTTTTAAAGTATTTATGAATGAAATGTTCTGTCTATTTGTGCTAAATAGTCTGAATTCTTTTTAAATATGTTGTATTATGAATGAAATTCTCAAGTCTGCAGTCGGCACGCAGAAATATTTACCTGCGAGACTCTCGCACGAAAAACAAGAAGTCTTGCACGAGACTCGAGACGAGACCAATGAAAGTCTCGTCTCGTCTAGTCCGAGTCTTGTCTCGAGTCTTGTCTCGAAAACGAGACGAGACCATGCGAGACTCTCGAAAACGAGACTCTCGCGGGCACCACTACTTGGTACAGGTCTATTCCAAAAAAGCCAATTCCAGTGGTGTATGCGGATTTTGTCAAAAAAAATCGCTAATAATGATTCTGGATTGTTCAGCCCCTGAATGTGATCTAGTAGGCCAATATAATGCCTCCTGTCGAACCGATGATGACAGTTGTCGAAGGTTGGACAGGTGGGTGTTGTAGTGGTATTAATTGCGTTAATGAGTGTTGATTACAAGGAATCGACTTTTCAGATTGATTTTCGATAACGCGATGAAAAACCTTGTGATAAATAGGTTTCTTGACTCCATGTCAGCTCAGGAATATCTTAAAACCATTATAGCATCGTTATTGTATGAATTGTTTAGAAAAATCCAGAAGGGCCTCCTTGAGCCCCCTTGGATTGCCTTACCTGAAAAATCACGGAATCAATTCGAGATACTGAGCAGAGCAATCGATCCAAATGAAGGATTTGTGTTAAGCATAGCACCTAATTCTGAACATTTCTCCAAAAACATTAATTCTTCTTCTGTTAAAGTTGTCCATGATTTCAACGCAATATGAATCCATTTTCTAGGATGTGTTCCATCGTATAGAGTGGCAAAATACGTTGAATGTGGCTTGCATAATTTTAAAATCGGAAATGATGCAATAAAAACCTAAAAATGAAAAATCATCGATTTTCAACATCCTGTATGAGGAATATGGAAAATTACAAAACCGTTTCGAGATATTGGCTTGAACGTTCGGAAAAAACGCTTAATAGGAAAATAAAAAAAAATCCCTGGAATACGGAAGCGTTTGAATTCTCTCATTTTTGAAATACTTTTTTCGAACACTTGGTGTATAATGACAGAAGAACTCCCGACGAGTTTTGAACAAGGAATCTTGAACAGAAAGATTGCACCTTCCAAGCACTGCATTCCGATTGAAAATCCATTCATTTTCCAAAAAGAGATGGCTGTTTTGCAAACTTGAACGATGGAAATTTGTTATTTTTATGGACCTTCAATCGCAGATTCGTGATCAGGTGTTCTCAATTCAGAATTTCTTTCCACGTCTTGTATGATGAATGTCAATTTGTCGTACATCCAAAAACAAAAAATCGTCTATTTTTATTTCAGACCTCCAGGGCAAAAATGGTTCCTACGACGTCCCTGAAATTACAATTATCGGGTTTTTTCTTGTCGCAAAGTTGATTGCCAACAGCAATTATTTTGATTTTTCTAAAACAGTCGAACAATATCAAAATTCCATTTTTTTATCGACCAATTTAAACTTTGATTTCATACCTCACAAAAAAAATTGTGTGAGGTCCTAGAGACGCAGTTTCCTAATTCTCCTCTGCATGATGTCGAAGAAATTTCCGGAAATTTATAATTTTGCATTTTCGACCACTCCAAAAAAAATAATACGTCCCTGAAATTTCATTTTCCATTTTCGATCGGAAATTCCTGAACAATTTTTCGAAAGATTTTCATGGAATGATCTTCATTGCTTCAAATGCGAATGATGCCGATTGATATTAAACTTCACAATTTCCAGAGAAAAAATAGAAACATTTCTGGAAACCGAGGAAACCGAGTTGCAACTTCCAAAATGCAACTCCTTCTTCCGAAGGTTAGTCTATCAACTGAGGACCGAGAAGTTCGCGGGCAAAGTCTCTATGGAGACCAGGCAAATCGACAAAGACAGAGTGCTGTTTGTGACCAAACTGAGAACGAAAGAAGAAGAACAAGAACACGAAAAGAAAATATTCGAGGGACAACTGGAAGAACTCGAAGGATTCATAGGGTTCAACAAAGTTCTCAAAATGATTGTCAAATCTGTAAGCTGAGATAATTTAGAATTTTCTATGTGTTATTTCCGGTTATTTCTTTCTACATTGGAAATATTTATAGTGAGGTATACTTACCTAAGGAAGTAAATATCTCTTCAACGAGCTAAAACACCGAGAAAATAATGAACTCAAAAAAAAATGCAAAATGTAAAAACTTCACAAACGATAAGATTTCTACAAAATTCTTGAACACACATGTTTCGCTGACACAGTAGCTTCGTCAGGTGATATACTGGTACAATGAACTAAACCAACCTTGGCTTGCTTTTATATATATCCTACTTTCGATTTCCAGCACGGGCAAGGAACTTTTTTCAATATTTTATTTACGAATTAAATATTGTAAAGTTTCGGAGCATCGGCTGGAGATAGTCCTGCACGATTCGCTGTTGCGTTCCAATTAACAGTGCTGCTCCTAAAGTGGCGCATGGAGTTAGTAACAAAGCCTACACAGAACACGCAGAAAGATATGATGATGTGGTTGTGAGCGTCAGAGAAGAAGTAGGACGGTGTATGTAGGTGGGTGTGGAAAAACTATCAGCTGAGCGTGAGAGCGGGCCAGCTGCTTAAGTAGACCTCGGTCTCGGGGGTTAACGATGATAGTTAGCAGGCCTGCCACTGCGCATATGCTAGTGAGTACATTACTAGCCTACAAAACAGCTGAAAAACTCTGAAAAGAGTGCTGATGGGCGGTGCCTGAAAAGGATGTTAGCCAGCTCTCTTGAGCGAACCACATCAGTCATTGAAAACACTTGGGGTTTGCAAAAAGGTCCCATTGGGGACTAGTTGCTGACGTGGAAACGTCCCCCACCAGTACCAGTACCTGTACCTGTGGACAGGTTCCATATAAACCTTCATTTTCGGAAATTAGGCACAATATCTACATTAAAATACAGTGTACCGGATCAACTTGAAAGGGTTGATAGCAAATACATATTATTACCTAGTAAGAAAACAAATTCAACAGTGTGCAATAGAATCTCTCAAGATATCTCAGGATTTGTGTATTGAAAGACAGATAATTTTATTAATGCTTTATTTCTAGAATCCCCTGAATACCTGTTGGCTTCTGCTGACCTTCAATTCTACTGCTAGCCTAGCAGGAATCTTGCAGTTTCGTATCGTGCTCTGGAACACTCGTACATGAAATCACCGTAGATTGTCTACGTTGATGAAGATTCTTCTGATCTTTGGATTATGAAGCAATAGCGGATTTTGTGGTTCCTTCCTTCAAGTCTACACTTTCGATTCTTGGCGATCAAAAACACCCTCGCCGAACCAACCATTAACAAAAAACTTGTTGTTCCCTTTCCATGGCAACTCCAAACGTCCAACAAAAAAAAAAACATCACGGCTTCTCAGCAAAATACAGAGCGATTCATAGCAGACTAGCCAATCGCACTTACAGGGTGATTTATGGGCATTCCTACATTCGCGCACTACAAGTGGTGAACTATTGATGTCTAATTGATCGTTAAGTAAAATGTCAAAATTTTTCAGTGTGTTGATTTCTAATGATTCAAAATTATTGAGTTTCATTCCATTATTTTCTACGTGTAGAATTTCTAAATTATCATCAAAACTATGGTTTTCTTTTTCAAAAAATTCATCTTATGTTCATGAATGCGCTGATTGAACGTACGATCTGTTTGACCGATATATACCTTAGGACAAGATCCACAGTTGAGTTTGTATGTCTTGTCCTGAGGTATAATATTGGTCAGACAGGTCGTACGTTTAATCAGCGCATTCATGAACATAAGATGAATTTTTTGAAAAAGAAAACAAATTCAACATACGCCAACCATGTATTAGAAGAAAACCATAGCTTTGATGATGATTTCGAAATACTACACGTAGAAAATGAACAAATGAAACTCATTCATTTTGAATCATTAGAAATCAACATAATCAAAATTTTTTACATTTTACTTAACGATCAATTAGACCTCAATAGTTCACCAATGTTGAATTTCTTTTCTTAGTAGGTAATAACATGTATTTGCTATCAACCCTCAAGTTAATCCAGTACACCGTATTTTTATGTAGATATTGTGCCTAACTTCCGAAAATGAAGGTTTATGGAACCTGTCTACAGGTAACTTATTCTTCAAGTTGGGAAAGTAAGATATATAAAAGCAAGCCAAGGTTGGTTTAGATCATTATACCAGTATATCACCTGACGAAGCTACTGTGTTAGCGAAACATGTTGTGTGTTTAAGAAATTTGTGTAAATCTTATCGTTTGTGAAGTTTCTACATTTGTCATGGGTTTTCATCAAGTAACCGCCGAGTCAATTAAAACAAAAGATATGTAAAACATATTTACAAACTATCTTGCCTGAAAAAAAATGAAAATTTCAGAACCCGAATAAAATAGAAATTGCAGTTGAATCTTTTATAAAATGCACTATAAAAATGCCCTTGTGTTGAAAGTATTATCAATTGAGTACCAATTGAAGTACTAATATTATTTTCTTGCAGGGAAAACTCGTTATTGGGCATAATTTATGTCTGGATCTTCTGCATACTATAGAAAAATTTTTGTGTTCATTGCCTTGTGAGTATGAAGAATTTAAAGAATTGGCACATGGACTGTTTCCAAGGTAGGCTATAATGGACTAGTTAGGTTTTGTTCTGTTTTATTTAATACTAGCAGACCTCGCAAATGTTGATTTGCTATATACGGTGATTGACTATGGATTTCTCGACTTCAACAGCTGATATCTCGAAAACGAAAAAAGATATTTGAAATTTGGAAAAAGTTACTTGAATGAGATGTCATTTCCTTCTGGAAAATGTGTTCTCTGCTTGATTTTATCATTTCATATACAGGGTATGTGAAAAAAATTTTTTTTTCAAATGGAACTCCCTGTATATTATCGCATATTTCGAAAGAGCTATCTTTCCTGATTTTGAAAATATATACTTTTCATATATTCTATCGAGTGCTTGACGAAATATCAGCAAAATTAAATATTAATATTTGGTCCAAGTTAGCTATGGTTGAAATAGAATGAGATGATGAATAAGTGAATTGACATTTGGTCAACATCTCAGTGACATAAGTGCGCATAATTTCGACAATTTTTGCAATATGCCATATCCACTGGAACAAAAAAGAGATATTTCGAAGTGATATTTTTCAGTTAATAAAAATCTTGCTGAAACACTTCATAAGTTTATGAGGAGTTATCCAGGCAGGAGAATACCAAGTAAGAATTATGTGAAGTAGTTGGCTGCTGAATTTGACAAAACTTTCAGTTTGTGGAATATCAAGAGAATAGTGAGAAGGCAAGACAATGAAGACGAGGAACTTCTTGTAATCCTGTATTTTGTTGAGGATCCTTCACGGTCAATAAGAAATGCAGTGAGAGAGTTTGGTTTCAGCTATTATTTTGTTTAACATACCTTAAGGAAATATAAATATAGGGATTTCAGAATGAGACCATGCCACAAACTGAATTATGATGATAATGAGAAGCGGATTGAATTTTGTCTTGTCATATCTGAAAGATTAAATATAAGTAACTATAAGTGTAAGTGTTTCAGCAAGATTTTTATCAACTGAAAAATAGCACTCCAAAATATCTCTCCTTTGTTCCAGTGGGTATGGCATCGTGAGAAAATTGTCGAAATTTTGCGCACTTATGTCACTGGAATGTTGGCCAAATGTCAATTCACTTATTCATCATCTCATTCTATTTCAACCATAGCTAACTTGGACCAAATATTAATATTTAATTTCGCTGATATTTCGTCAAGCCCTCGATAGAATATATGAAAAGTATATATCTTCGAAATCAGGAAAGATAGCTCTTTCGAAATATGCGATAATATACAGGGGGTTCCATTTGAAAAAAAAATTTTTTTTCACGAACCCTGTATATGAAATGATAAAATCAAGCAGAGAACACATTTTCTAGAAGGAAATGACATCTCATTCAAGTACCTTTTTCCGAATTTCAAATATCTTTTTTCGTTTTCGAGATATCAGCTGTTGAAGTCGAGAAATCCATAGTCAATCACCCTGTACATTATTTCTATAATATATTTTTTCAGTTCAATATTCATCAAGACACTATTATTATTTTATTCTCTACTTCTTTTTAGTTTCACTAGGTATCTAGAAACACGCTTCTAGTGTTTATTATTTAGTCTTTCAAACTACTGTACAGGGTGTCTTTAAAAGGTCTTTACAAAAACATACCACATATTTCCTAGACCAAAATAAGTCGATTTAAGTAAAATTATCTTAGAACAAAGTTGCATCGTTTGGGCTCCAGAGGGCCTTGAAGTTACAATTTTTAAATCGTTTTTCCCATATAAATTTAAAACGGCATATGCGATTTTGCTGAAATTTGGTATATTGATAGTTTTATGTGGCAAAAAAATGGTGCTAAATTTTTGTCCGATATTAATCCATAGGCGTAGAACTTGATTTTTTTTAATAATTGCACCTTTAACAATTCTACGCCAATGGAATAAAAGGAGTTTGAGTATGAAATTTAGATTGCGCAACTCATTCACTTTGAAAAAGGTACTCTCGATAAGACTCGATTACTCTTATTGTTTTGACGAAGTTTGCATTTTAGTAATTTTAGAACATAAACAATAATATTATTGAAATACAAACTCTATCGAGATCCGAATTTATTCAAAATTCGTATATAGGGGTTTTCGGAATCGGAGATTATGATTCATTCGTCCAAATTTGAATATTCTGGATGGCGGATCCAATATGACGGACGATTTTTGTAATTATGATCCGATTCTACTCAAAATTTCATCATTATTTTTTGTTTTATAAACTGCCAATGAGGAAGCGAAATACAAAATCGGAAACACACGCACAGACATTTCAACCAATCAAAAACGTGTATTTTATAAAGAGTGAAATAATCGTCAAAATTAGAAACAATATATTATTATAACGTTACTAGTTAGGAAACGCGACATTTTTTGTGACGATACTTAGTATGCAACGATCATGTAATAGTTATATTTATACATGATCATTGCATAATATATACTATTTTAGACTATGTTTGAAATCGATCGGAAGAAATTTCAGATGAAACATATTCCAATATTGGCAATTGTTTTTAGAGTTATCGATACCAAGTACATGTCGAGTACAAACCCATTTCCAGATTTAATATCGTCCAGTGTATTGAATCAGCTGTTGGAAAGGCTGTCCGAGAAACCTTTCAGTATTCCAAATATCGGTAAGCAGATAATTTCACTTACATGATATGAGTAAACAGGGTGTCCTGAAATTTGCCTTCCAAACTTCACCAGTGGCTTCTACGACCAAAAATAAAAAGAAATGTTCCAAAAAAACATGGGTCGAAATAATTTTGGGACACCCTGTGTTTTCATTACATTGAATTCAAATTCAAAACAAATTATCTATTGATTTGGTATCAATATGGCCAAAAAACAAACAAATACAGTGACTTTTCTTTTAGAAATCGAAGAAGGACATTCCGGTTACAAAATCTTGGATAATAAAGAACACGAAGCAGGATATGACGCCTATATAACGGGTGTTGCTTTCTTAGCGATGTGGAAATATTTAGGTAATCATTCAGTGATAATTTTTTATCTGAATCATCATCAATATATCGATAAATTTGTTCACCCATAGTTTGAAAAAAGTCTTATTATATTTTGACTCTCACATAGGAGAGATAGACAAAAATGTCTGATACAGATATCTGTTTTATACAGGATTTCTAGGGGTTTCCAGGAGTTTCCATACAAAGTGATATGAACAAATTCAAAATACTTATTTTTGTATCAATTTTCCTAGATTTTTTCAGAGTTTAATTATCACCTTTCGGTACGGCACTTGTAAAACATGAACCCTACCCTTAACCATTTTTAAAAAGTTTTATTTAAAAAAATTCACATCCCTTTAGAGAGAAAATCATGCAGCATATTTCCGTGTTTGCCCTGTTATTTACTATACTATTTGTACGTCTACTTTTTTAATTTCCATATGATATTTTTTGTACATGTCCCGTTACGATTGATCTTTGATCACTTCAATAAAAGTTGTGGAGATGCTAATTTGATTTGATTTCATCAAAAGATAGTATCTACAAAAAAAAACTTTTTCATTCAGATCTTTGATTTCCAGGGTCAGAACAGAAACTAAAAGATAACGAAATATTTGGCAATATGGATCTTTTAGAGCCTTATATGAACAGGTTAGTTATAGTTGAGATCTTCGAACACAATGATGAAATATTGAAATGATTTCATTTATTTTTTCCAGGATATACCTGATGATTTTAACTGATAACCAGTACATTCATCTGGGTGGTGAAGATAGTGAGTACTATACTCAGTTTTCCTGATGTATTCATTCATGTTTTTTTTTCTTTTTCAGGTAATCCATCTCGAGATCATGTTTTTCATATAACGTTTCCAAAAGATTGGAGGCTGAATAACATAACGCAGTTATTCAGTCCTTTTGGTGAGTTGAACATTGTAATATTTACCTGGTGACACGTTATAAAATATCAATCCCTGTAATAATTCTCTTTTGTCTACGAAAACAATATCCTCTCAAATTAAAAGATAGGCTTCCAGTATTCGAAAGAATCAGGAGAAAGCCACTAGACATGTATGAATTATTGTTAGTAGGTGTTTTAAAACACGGTGACCCCCTTGCTAGGGTAGGTATCACAGCAAAATAGGTTTGGTTTACTTAGTGAAAACAATACGAATTCAGTTTTTCCAAAATAAAATACCTTTCAATTTCTAATTCGTTTAGAATTTTCCGGTCGATTTTAGGGTGCTGAAATAATCAATAATACCACGGTAATTTTCAAACGGCTAGAAATATACCGCGAGTCAAAACTGACGTCACGATTTCGTAACTATAGGGGCAGACCATAGCATAGTTGCCATGTGTTGAGATACGATTAGGAATTTCAGAAATAATAGTTATTCGATAATTCATAAATTCTCAATTAGTATTGGTAATACTTCTAATCAGCATTAAAAATTCAATTGTCTCAAAATGATCCCTTATGATTTGTGGCTTATTGCTTATAATTCATTTATGTGAATAATAATTATATTAATCCACGCTAGAGGACATTTGAATCGGTGAACGTGACAACCACGGCGCACGACTTGTGGGCGTGGTCTTGTCAGTTGTCAGCATTCAGCACAATGTTGCCAAGTCCCCAACATTCACATAATATGTCATGGAGAATAAGAAATATTTGGACATGCTGGTTGCTCGAGAAAGTCAAGAATGAACTATAATATCATGGCTTCCTCCTATTATGTTTTATCTCGTGTTTTATTCAACGACCGGACTCTAATACCTTTTTGATAACTTGATTTTAATTTGACTTGACAACCTTGATTCTTGAGTGAGATTGGAAGATGATCTGACCAAAAACGAAACAGCATAAAAGCTGATGTCATCATTTATTCGACTTATCGCCAAATGGCGGCCATGACATTATACGTTTGAAATGAGCTTTGAAATTCAACAATTTTGAACAACGCATCATAGACTCATTATTTACATAAAGTGTGAAGTGCTGCAAAAATTAATTTAGGTCCCTGACACAGTGGAGTAATGGGCTTATATCATAAAAAATTTTATTTCATTATTCGGTAGAACTCACCCAAACTAGCTCACTACCGCGAACCGTTTGTTGCTGTGAGCTCCCTACGTTTTATAAAAAAATATTGAAGTCCCCGATTTTTCGGACCTCTGAAAACGAGGCGATGATGTGACGTCAAAACCCTAATACTGAAACAAGATTATTCCAAACAGAGATGAATGATACATGGTTTCTGACAAAGCACCAAGATTGGTGAATCGGCAAGTTGATTTTTGGGACAAAGATAATAAGAACAAGAAGAAGATCAATTCTAACCTTTTTTTTTTTTTTTTTTTTTTTTTTTTTTTTTTTTTTTTTTTTATCGCTTGGAGCGCACGAAAGGGAATCCCTATAATGTTCAAAGAACATCGTGCGTTCCTAGGGAGGATAAGGATAGGAGGTAGGTATTGGAATTTTTTTTGAACTTCTGGAGATTATATGTTGTTGGGAATACTTCCTCAGGCAATGAATTCCAGAGCCTAGCCGTTCTATGGATGAAGGAGTTTTGATATCAACTTTTTGCTGCGTTTATGTAATATATTGGATTATTGTGAAATTGTTATGGTGCAAATGGTTTTGAGATTGAGACATTTCGTTGTCTAGAGATTGTTTATATTCCAATGATTCAACCTACAATCGACAACTTGAATATATTTTTCTGCACTAGTGGTAGTGTGGATATCAAAAGATATTTCAATATCGATTTCGATCTCTCGGATATTTTGTTTGGATGATATGGCAACAGTGATAAGTGTCAGTTTTAACTATGGAGAGATGAGGTTTCTACGGAGGGTCCGTTTTCAGAAGGTACTATTATTTATGTCCAAAAATAAAACATTCCAGTTAATTTTTCGATCGAATTATGTCGTCAATCCTTATTTATGTATAAAAGGATCATTATAAACATGCATGGTTTGAGTTGAAAGTTCTACTAAGGTGTACACGCCCATTGATGAATGCCAATAATTCATCAAAATAAGTGTACTCGCCCATTCTTCAATTCTGTAGGTCCTCGACAAACATCTACGAAATGAATAAATTCCATACATTTTGATATATTTTCATTATTTTATTATTATTTATTTATCAAACATATCTTCCAGTCAGAACAAGTTCTGGTATGAGGAAAAACATAATTATAAAATAATAAGTAATAAATATCTACGAACTACTACACAAACATGAGTTGAAGTAAACATGAATGATAAATCATAATCGTTAATCGTTCTATCCGTCATTCGGTTGCCCCCTTACGAGCAACCCTCAGAAGTCTTCGAGAGTCTTGTGCGAGCAAGGAATGACGGGGGCCTTACCTTTTAACTTTTTTAATGCATTCTTGAATCCTTCTATATGGTTTTTGGGGAGTCTTCAGGAGATTTGTGGCTTCTATTCCATATAAATTGGTAGTTGTTTTGTAGAAATCTCTGTTCTGGATAGTGTGTTGTGCGGCAGCAGCAATATTTTCACCCATTGCTATTTGTTACTTTTTTAATGCATTCTTGAATCCTTCTATATGGTTTTTGGGGAATCCAAAAACCCAAGAATCGTCCCTCCCCAAAAATTACCTTTTAACGTGTGATCCCAAACACTTTTTTGGGCCATCAGAAAATTTCTGCAGTCGATGGGAATCGAACCCACGACCGGCAAGCGAATGCGGATTAGAATATGGACACTCTGTCCGCACGGCTACCTGGCCAATAAATCAGGATATTACAATATTTAATACAAGTTTATCGAAAATGTCTTCTCTCAGGTAACGTTCACGTGTCGTGGATCGACGAAACGTCCGCCTACGTGGGTTTGAACAAGCGCGATCAGGCCGCCATAGCGTTGAACACCCTGTCGCAAAGCGACACGATAGCGATCACGACTTACGCGAAGCGACAGGCTTTTTTGTCGGGGACTAAAACGCCGCTTTCCTCCCCTTTGGGGACGAGGAAGAGGAGGAAGAGCTCGGAAGGGCCGCCTTCCTCCAAGAAGAGGAGGACCGATAGTTTTCCCAGGTGAGTGAATGTTATTGTTATTATTATTATGATATAATATGAAATATCGGGGAGTTCAGTCAATCGGGCTACAAGCAATGCTATGCCAAACTTTCGGAAATTTTTATTTTTCCCTTCAAGGCTGAAACAATATATGATATTGTCACGATTAGAGGAGTTGTGCTTCCACCATGTTACGATATAGTAGAGTGGTTAGCCCATCCATATCGATTTATAAGGGGGTATGCTTGGCTTAATAGTTTGCGAGAGGTAATATTCAAATAGGCACTATAATAGTTTAGGGGTAACTGAAAGTACGAGACTATATTCAAAGATCAAAGAACAATATGTATTGAAGCATGAAACATTATGGGTGAAGTGATGACAAATATGAATAAACAACAATGAATATAAAGACCTAATAACAACTTACATTATAGATACCATAACGACGAGCTCTTGTCAAGTCAAGAGTAGCCCCAGACCAGACTAACTTCGGAACCCTCAAATCCAATATTTATATACATCATTTTATTAGAAATGCACGTTTCTCATGAGAGTTCCTTGGTCAGTTTTTATAATTCAATGTCAACGGATGATTTGATTTACTTTATGTTTATAAAACCCTCATGGTTAGAAATTACTGATATACCGTATGTTCTACTCGTGACAATATATGAAACATTTTGTTACAATTCAATTTAACAAAAACAAGAACTTACTTGCAAACCGAAATGGGAATTAGGAAAGTGCAAATATGGTTGAATCACAATTGACTGAGTTTGAATATGAAAAAAAAACGAATATATAACTTTTTCCCCGTCAATAGTAGATCAGCCTCCTCAATTCACCCTCAAAATACATTCCCCATCCTGTGATAACCATAAAAGTAACTGCCCGATACTTGAGAAAACATCTACCATAAAATACGTGTCATTTTAGATCAACACATGAGATAGACAGATCACATTATTCATGTATCAATAAGGATTAGAGCATTTATTCACAGATTTGATGAACTAAGAGATATCCTATCCCAGAAAAACATGGTTATTATACAGGGTGTCAATTTGAAAACTTCCCACCCTCAATATCTCCCTCCAAGTCGATAATATGGAAAAACGAAAAGACAGGTCGATTTTATTTTCGAGGGGGACATGGTTCTAAAACATTTTCAGCCCCGCGGCGTTGCCGCTTCTAACGAAAAGAAGCAACAACTTTGTTATTTCAATTGGAACACCCTGTATTTCATTGCATTTTTAGATTCTCACTGAAAAGCTGATTTCATCAATGCATCACACTTGGGGTCTAGCAGGAATGATTACAGAGATATAGGGTGTTCAAAATCGAGATTTTACAACTTTAGGATTTTTTTGAGTCGAAACTATTCATTATTGGTCAAAACGGCTTTTATGCCCCTATCTCAACTTTTGATTTACTATCTACTGACATTTATTTGAAACAAATACAGGGTGGTTCAAGATTCAGACTTTTGATCACCCTGTATTTGTTTCAAATATTACAAACAGCACAGAATACTTTGATCAAAATAATTCATAAAAGAAATAAACTTTACCCAACATAATTGCTTTATGAACATACAATACTATTTAATGTGAGAACTCTCTTCATTTACCAACGCGTGCTACGGATACACTGTACACCCAACAAATTTGAAATAAAAAATACTAGTTTGACTAGATCAACTCATAATAAAAACTTCCAAGTCCAATTTTTCAGAAAATCTGTGACACAGAGATCCATAGCATCATCCCGACCTTAGAGAAATAAGGCAATTTAAAACTTTCAAAATCAAGTTGAAGAAATTCATAACAGAACAACCAGAACAATTTATCATAATGGTCTGGAAGTATGCATATTTCCTATCTTCACCCTGAGATGAGCTATACTTAGCAGTACCTCTGTTGATTGACCTATTTTCATACAGTGTGTCCCACTTACCATGCTCACCATGGGTATCTTTTTAACGGTGAGCGATACGAGGTCGGTTAAATGACACCAAATGTGGAGTTTGTCAAGGCCAACTTTAATGTGGAGAAATATTTTGATAAAATCTATTCGTTTTTGTTTTATACGCAAAATACAGATTTTGATCATTTTCATGTCTCCTCTGTAACTTCTTCATTTATGAAAATATTCAAATAGGAATTTCACATTCTCATGGCAGTTTTTCAAAGTGATTTCGATAAAAATATGAAATTTATACCAACTCTTCTAGAATTTGAGATATCAGCACCATCTTCAGTTTTTCAAATGTAGGTCATAGCTCACTATGACTTAGTTACAAATAACTTTTTTTTCTCTTACAGATGATACGTCGCAGTAATAGTTTTGTGTTGATAACAACGGAGTTATCGTCATTTATACAAAAACAAAAAATTATTTGGAAGCCGCCATCTCAAATTTATAAATTTTGCCAAAAAAATCATGATCTCCGACCTCAAAAACACCTTCTTACCAATTTTGAATGGAATCGAACCAAATCTTGTCCGCCATCTTGGAGCAGCCATTTTTTTTAATTTCAACAAAAATTCCATAACTCCGATTAACTTGAAATTTCTGTTGAAATTTAAAAAAATGGCTGCTCCAAGATGGCGGACAAGATTTGGTCCGATTCCATTCAAAATTGGTAAGTATTGTTAAAATTTATAAATTCAATACGGCGGCTTCCAAATAATTTCTTTGTTATTTTAAAAAATGACGATAACTCCGTTGTTATCCACACAACACTATTACTGCGACTTAACATCTGTAAGAAAAAAAAAGTTATTTGTAACTAAGTCATAGTGAGCTATGACCTACATTTGAAAAACTGAAGTTGGTGCTGATATCTCAAAATCAAAAAGAGTTGGTATAAATTTTATATTTTTTTCGAAATCACTTTGAAAAATTGCCATGAGAATGTGAAATTCCTATTTGAATATTTTCATAAATAAAGAAGTTACGGAGGAGACATGAAAATGATCAAAATCTGTTTTTTGCGTTTAAAACAAAAACGAATAGATTTTATCAAAATATTTTTTCACATTATAGTTGGCCTTGACAAACTCCACATTTGGTGTCATTTAACCGACCTCGTATCTCTCACCGTTAAAGAGATACCCATGGTGAGCATGGTAAGTGGGACACACTGTATACAGGGTGTATCTAAATAACACCGAAAAAATTCAAGGTTTGATTCCTTGTGATTTTCTAGCAAATAAAGTTCATATAAACATGTATCCTAACTTGCTCCGTTTTTGAGATACAGGATGTTGAAGTTGGAAGTATCAATTGTTTTTATTTATAACTTCCCTGTATAAGCTTTCATGGTGCCAAAATTGAGTATGGTTATTGCGTAATATCAATGGGAGTCTTGAAAACACCTACAGTAAAATTTGGAGTCAAATCGAATTTTTATTCTTTCCTCAAAAAATAAGCTAGATACTAAAATCACACAAAGGATGAAAAAGGTGTTATTTCAATAGTTCAATCTAATAAAAATATGAAACTCAGAAAAACCCGAGGCGTACAATGACATTCACCATAAATATCGATAAATTTACCCACTGTGACGCCACTGGAAATATTATTTCGAATCAAATTGCACCAGACGAAGCTTTATATTACTATTAACAAAACCACAACGTTTTATTGAAATTGATGGAAAGACAATTGAGTAATGAATAAAAAAACGATCTTTCATGGAAATATTAATACCCTGTATCTCGAAAACGAAGCAAGTTAGGACACATGTTCATATGAACTTAATATCCTAAAATATCACAAGGAATCGCCTCTTGAATTTTTTCGGTGTTATTCAGATACACCCTTTATATATGTATATAGGACACTTAGACCTCAAACTTACTTTGTATGTACACCTAATACTGAATAAATGAAATTGAAAATTGAATTGAAGTAATGTGAGTGTCCCATTTGAAAAATCAAGGTTTCTGCTACTTTTCAATATAAGTGACAACGTCGCAACGCTGAGAATATTTTAGGTCGATAGAACACAACTGATTGTTTATTCAAGGCACCAACTTTTCATAATAATTCTGAGTTGAGTTCTCCAGAAACGTCTAATGTGCCATCCACCGTGAATCAGCCTGTATACTTTTTTCAGCATAATTTCAAAAAGGTCCATAGATCGAATAGAGGAAGAAAGAATGGAGGCAGAAGATGGCAGCACACCTGGTATATATAAGAAAACTTTCGAGGTGGATACAACTTGGGATTAATTGGTTCTCCAGCAGTATTAACAATCTTGTGAGGAATTAAAATAATATATGTTTTTGTATGAAACGTTCAATTCTCTCAGCCTTTTTTTTTATTTCACTGATGAAAATTGATTTTCAGGTATGACTATTTCAGAATCTACACTATCTACAATGCGCTCAATTAAAACATTTTCAAATTCGTTCAGTCTTCATTTGATCACATTGAAAATTTTCGATTTATGGACATGGTATTGAAACTGTTCATTTATTTTCTGCTTTCTGTACGTTATTCAATCAGTTTCATATCTTTCATATTATGTACAGTGTGTCCAGTTTTCGATGCTTTTGTGTGATATCTCAGTTATCTTTCGAGATAGATCCTTGCGGGTTTCGCGATCGTGTGCCACTTTTTTGTGAAACTCAAGATGGCCTAATCAGATTTTGCATAACTGTTTGCGTTTATGAGATACAGGGTGATTTTGAAAATTTATACTTTTTGGACCCCCTCTATCTCTACGAAGTTTCTCAGCAAAAATGTCAAATTTGAATCTCATCCCATATGAAAGTTTACGCAGAATCCAGTGGCGCACTGAAAATTTTTTTCAGGGTATGGTTTTGGAGATACGACTCAAACTTATGGTTTTTTTAACGGAACACCCTGTATTTTATAAGCTCATAAAATACCTCATTTTTTTCTCTTCAAAATGATTTATAATGTATGTATATGAAATTTTCAAAAATGCTCTGGAATCACTGAAACATTGAATTTGGATGGCTATGGATTTTTTTTATAAAAAAGTTCCAATTGAAGAAATATTCATTTTGATTTTTCCATACAGAGGACAAAAACAATACCAACACTAATTAACTAAGAAAACACAAAAATTATGTACCTGATAGGAACAAATAAATAGTAATAAAAAGTTCATAATGTAGAATAAGCACCAGATTGAATATTTACAAATACAATTGAATTTCGGAATTATTCAATAATTTATTCACTGAATTGTTCAAATTGATGTCCATTTTCCATAACACACAATTGACACATTTTCTCAATACGTCTTGATACAGTAAGAGTCACAAATATCTTGAAGAACTTCGTGCAACAACAGAGGCAGTTTTCCAGGAATTACAAAGACATCCTGTAATGATTTTGAATGCATTAAGACGTATTGAGAAAGCGTGTGGGGGAAAGTGGATATCAATTTTAACAATTCAATGAATAAGTTACTGATTAATTTATAAATATATTAAATCAGGTGATTATTCTAGAATACGAACTTTTTATTACCATTCATTTGTTGCTATCAGGTACCTAATTTTTATGTTATCTTAATTAACTAGTGTTGGGATTGTTTTTGTCCTTTTCATGGAAGAATCAATTGAAATATTCTTCAATTGGAACTTTTTTTAAATGAAAAATCCATAGCCCACTACATATTAAAATTCAATGTTTTAGTGATTTTGGAGCATTTTTGAAAATTTTATACATATTCATCATATTTCATTTTGATGGGGAAAAATAAGGAATTTAATGAGCTTATAAAATACAGGGTGTTCCATTTGAAAAATCATAAGTTCGAGTCGTATCTCCGAAACCATACCAGAAAAAAAATTTGAGTGCGCCACTGAATTTTGCGCAAAATTCTGTATGGGATAAGATTCCAATTTGACATTTTCGCTGAGAAACTTCGTAGATATAGAGGGGGTCCAAAAAGTATAAATTTTCAAAATCGCCCTGTATCTCATAAACGCAAACAGTTATGCAAAATCTGATTAGGCCATCTTGAGTTTCACAGTAAAGTGGTACAGGACCGCGAAAACCACAAGGTTCTATCTCGAAAGATAACTGAGATATCACACAAAAGCATCGAAAACTGGACACACTGTACATACGTATAGTTTGCATTCGCAGTGACTCGAATTGTGACTCACACGGTATTCCGCAAGCCGATATCTTGAAATTCAAACAACCCATGATGTGAAAACAATCCTAGGTGATAGTTCCCATGGAACCCTATAGCTGTTTTATTTGTTTTTTTTATGCATATCTGATTGTTTTGGCGAATATCAAAGGAGAACACACTATTGACTCACCCGGTATAGTGGTTTCAGTGGAAATATGAAGAGGTTTGAAAAATAGGTATGGGGCATACCTATCAAATATATATAGGTAGCACAGTGACCTGAGAAGACGTCATATTGACGTCGTTGTTTCGTCCAACATTCTTCCGTATTACCGAATGGAAAAATCTGCCATTATCTCACCTTTTATTGTCTATTCGACGAAATTTAAGTTTTTATATACGTTTCTCTACAACTTGAAGCTTTATTTGCCAACTTTCGGTACGTTGCAATTGAGCTACTTCTATTCCGCTTACATCTCGCCGACGCTCGCTACATGATTTTAAATACAAATATTGTAACGGAATCTATGAACGCTCACTATAAGCTTATTTAGATCGCATGGATTGTTTAATTAGTACCACAGGTTTCTGAATAAACAAATCGTCAGTTGCCGACGTCGCTAACAGATGTCATTAGGGAGATCGAAATTGATATATTCAACAAGCAACTTTTTGCGAAGATTCGAAAAAAGTTGTTTTCTATTGGAATTTATATGCTAAATGAAGTGTGAGGTTTAGGGCCACATTTTGATTGTACAACCATTTATGAGTGTTGAAAGCCTTGAGGTGCTTAAACTGAGATATTTTTGAAATATTCTAAGTGTTACCTGGTTTTAGGTGAGTGCTTGATGTCATAATTAAATTCGTTAGGTATAGTATATTCGTTCATTAAAATTAAACTGCTATGAGTTCTGATATGGTGTTTAGCAAGATTTTTGGTTTTAGCTATTGTAATTGGTTGTTGGAATCATCAATAAATCGTTACTGTGGAACAATCTAAAAATCATTCCTCTCTGTTAACCCACTGGAAAATTATAATTATCAGCGAGATACAGGGTATTCCGCTGCAATATGAATAACTAATGTTAAACCTACATGGAGATGCGAACTAATGATAATGCCAGGATCGAACAGGATATTACACCCGGAGGGACCAACTCATCGATGAATCTCATCAAAGGTCAATATACAGTGTGACCCAATTCTAATGGAAACACCCCTGTTTCTTACGTAATCGTTTGGTAAGGATCCTGAAATTTGCTGGAGCGGAGAGATATACCAAAAATGCACTATGATCAAGTGGGGTCATTCCAGTGATGTACACTGCTCACCAACAGCCATGGAACAACCACCCCAATATTCGGAAAATGATTTTAGGAGTCAAAATATATCGAAAATCACTTCATATTCGGAATCAGGACGCCCGATTCACTAACTATTCATATTTTTCCTGGGAAATTTTGAGTTCCGAAAAATTCAATTTTGTCGCATTTTACGTAATTGAGTTTATCTTCCTCCTGCAAATTTCAGAACTCTACCTCAATAATTACGTGAGGTACGGGTGTGCTTCTATGAGAAATGAGACAAAATTTGATTTTTCTGAACTGAAAATTTCCTAGGAAAACTATAAATAGTTAGTGAATTGGGCGTCCTGATTCCGAATCCGAAGTGATTTCAACCTATTTTGACTCCTAATATCATTTTCCGGAGATCGGGGTAGTTCCATGGCTGCTGGCAAGCAGTGTATATCACTAAAGGTGACCCCACTTGGTCATATAGTGCATTTTTCGTATATTTCACGCTCCAGCGAATTTCAGGATCCTTACCCAACGATTACGTAAGATACAGGGGTGGTTCCATTTGAAGTGGGTCACACACACACACACACACACTGTATATGTATATAATATCGTTTTTATAATATCGTATATATGCCCTGAAATTTTGTTGATATAGTCCTTCAATGGTCCTTCATAGGTCATTCTGAGACGACATTTCGACATCTAAATATGGCTGTGACATTTTGACGTCTTTTCGAGGTCTTCAAGACGTCATAGTTGATTCATAAATTTTGAAATTGAAAATAAATGTCGATAAAGACTATCAAAGACGCGTCTATCTCGGTGAGTTTTTTTCAGAAATAAAATTGGCTGAAATATCACTATGTTGTGGTGGGATGGCCCATTATGAAATTATGTGAGTTTAAAAAGTTTTGTATTCTTAGTTTCTGAGATATAAGCCGACAAAGTTCGTAGAAACATCGTATCAAGGTAGAATTCACAAAGAAAAACACTGTTTTTAAGTATAAGTCATACAAAGTGAGCTAGAAAATGTTCTGACCGGAATTTATAAACGGTCAAAAAGTTCTATCACGCTAGACATGTTCATGAGTTCCGATCAATAAATTTTATAGGTTACTTTGTCTTATTTATACTAAAAAAACAGTTTTTTCGTCGACATCTACAGAAAAACACATTCTACGTTCTTATTTCCGAAGGAAAAACCGTCTATTTTCGGAGGCGAGTACTTTTCGTCCTCAGACAACTTTTCGTCGGATTGTTGCCAGTTCTATTGAATTTTCAGTAGATCTCATGATTTGCACATTGATCTACTGAAACATTTCATAATCTACTAAAAAATATTTTGACCCTTATTTATTATTAATATTGGATATATCATTATTAATCTTCAGTTAATCACATACACTTATAAATAGCATGATATTTTGGCACCCTCTGATTAAATTGATTTCATATAATCCCCTTTTCAAGCTCCACCATGGGGATCTCAGTTATTATAAGAGATACGAGGTCGGTTGAATAATGTCAAAGTTGCGCATTTTCATGCTGAACAATTATCTGCAAAAACATTTTAATTTTTTGAACGTGTGTGTGAACGTTCCAGATCCAAATTCGAATAAACTCGAAATTAAGCTTGCCAAACAAAACTGTTGCCGTTCCTTCCAAAGCAATCTTCGCGAAAATGTTGCTTTGCTTTGTCATTTGGTCAGTTTTGTGACTAAATAAGGACGTCTTCTGGACGTCAATGGGAGCTTTCAAAGATAACTGAGATATCGTGGAAAACCATCGAAATCAGGTCACACTGTACACA